GGTTAGATAAGAGATAGGTTCTAAACCGTGTCCTCTTTTTTTCTTTCTACTATAATTCTGTCTCTATTTTTATCTAATCTATCGACTTTTTTTTGTCTAATGCTTTTCATCTGTTCACAAAAGATATCGAAAGATAGAAATAGTAGATAGATTAAATAAAAAAGACAAGATTACGGTAGAAAGAGAATGGTAGAAAGAAAACGGTAGAAAGGAAACGGTAGAGAGAGAACGGTTTAGGAAACGGTAGAGAGAGAACGGTAGAAGGGGTAGAGAGGGAGGAGGGGGGGGGAGGGGAAACGGTAGAAAGAGAACGGTTTAGGAAACGGATTAAACGAGGAACAACCTCGATCACTACAAGGTGAACAAACTCTACCACTACAATAGCAGCTAGTCCAAAATTATAGCAACTGCTGGAATCAGCCAATGCAGGCTGATCGGGAACGCATTGACCGTAGCGATCAGGTAGTAGCGAGCGATCAGGTAGTAGCGAGCGATCAGGTAGTAGCGAGCGATCAGGTAGTAGCGAGCGATCAGGTAGAAATCTGTATCCAACTAATCCCAGGCTTTCAACAACGATTTCTTCAAGGAATTGATGTTTTTGTGCGACTTCGAGCAAGATTTTGCTTCTGCTCTAAATGCTGACGTCTAGACGACGCTAGATGCTGACGTCTAGATGCTCTAGACGGTAATCAAGGGGGTTAAGAACAGAAAAGCTTGATGGCCACTCGGAAAACTTGATAAAGATTCGAGAATCGGAGAGATTATTCTCACACCAATCCTGAACTTTGTCGAGTTCCTATAATTTTGGACCACCCTGGGTCTTAATCTATTATCTTACGTGGGAAAAAGAATTCTAAAAATTGCTACAAAGTCAAACAATTCATTCTAATTGGTGATTAGAAGGTAGCTTTGTCTAAAAAGCTATTATCCTTGTCTTTAAAACTATCATCTTCGTCTTTTTCGCAAATCTCTCTTCACATCTCTTTAATTTTTCCTCAAGTGTGTGACCCAATCATTCATTTCTTTCTTTTCTTGAGTCAAGTGTATTTCTGGAGAGCGTGAAGAAAGATTTGATGGCTATTGATGAGTCTCAAATAAAAGGAAGATAAAGAACAAGAAAATGGATGTGTGTGTGTGTGTGATGTTTTGTTTCCTAGGGGACCTCCACGTGGACTCGTCAAGATAAATGAACAATTAGATAAATTAGATAAGCTTGTAGACATTCTTAGACATTCTTTTGGCTTCTAATAAACCAAAAGCGAAATTCATCGAAAACTATTTAAATTGAACAGCCGAACACCGAGAAATTTAAGTTCAAAGTTAGATTGCTAATGGCAAAGTGGCGGGGTGCGTACAAATGTCCCAAAATTGCATGCGGTCGCATAGAGCCGCATGCCGCTCTATTTTTCGGTACCCGGGGCTCAAATAGATCTAATAGAGGATTTACAGTAGTGCGTTTTCGCCTGGGGACAGTATAGATACAGTCAGATATTCTAATAGTCGTTGTCAGTCGTTGTCAGTCGTTGTCAGACATTCCGTCAGACATTTTGGCTTCTAATAAGCCAAAAGCGACATTCATTGAAATTTTCGAGGCTATATTAGAAGAGCGCTGTTTAAAAGAGTGCTGTTAGAGCGACAACAGAGCGACAAGGCTGTTAGAGCGACAACGGAGCGACAAGGCTGTTAGAGCGACAAGGCTGTTAGAGCGACAACGGAGCGACAACGGAGCGACAAGGCTGTTAGAGCGACAACAGAGCGACAAGGCTGTTAGAGCGACAACGGAGCGACAAGGCTGTTAGAGCGCCGTGATCGAAAGGGCGTCAATGCAAAAACGCGCAAAAGAACTCGGGGTCGATTCGGGATTGATTTATTTGATTGTTTATTGTATTGATAATCTAGAGCGCTAATGCAACGCTGGCGCTAACGCTCAAAAGAGCGCCAATGCCGCTAATGCCTTAAATTTTATGAAATTCAATCACTAACTGCGTTTTAACCTTTTTCTTTTCTTTAAAACTCCTGTATTGTTTCCAAATATTATAATGAATATTTATAATAAATATTTATAATGAATTCTTTTAATAGAATAGAATAAAAAGAATCTTAATAGAATTAATAGAATAAAAAGAAATGATAACAACATTTAAAATCGATGTAAAATGACAGAGATTTAAGATTTTCAATATGCTATCTTTCTGAGGTGCCATTTCAAATAGCCAACTTCCATGTCCGATGAGAAGAACAAACGTGAGACGATTGTAGATTAGTTTCGTCACCAAAAATTAAAAACTTAAAATAAAAAAAAAACAAAAAACCTTTCTTTTGATAAAATCCGCCTTATGGTCGCCGGTCGTTTTCTACCAAAACTAACGGCGAATTCGAATTCCCCGTCGCACGTCGGCGCGAAATAAGGCGAAAAATGCGATCGCCGTTAAATTTGCTCACGGTAAGTGCTATTCGATGCGAAAAATTGTCCTGAATTCAAATTTGAATGTTTCCCCAACATTCATTGTCTTCCAGAAACTCTTTCAAGTGATTTGACTACATGGCATTTAACTGAACGCGTTCCAATTTCTATGAAAGTTGGCAAATTTCCGCTTTCTTCGATAATATTTTTGCGCTCATCGGGCAGCAATTTTGGTTTGGTTGTAGTGGAAACCTCGCAAAATTTGTTGAATTGATCCAAACAACTACATAGAAATCTGTATCTACGTGACGTGTACAACTTTCGATATTCGGCGCGATGTGGACAAAGCTTTTTCAGCTTAGGACCATTCAAGTCATCGGATTTGAAGGACTTTTCGAAACCAAGTCGAGTTGACAGATCTTCAAATTTTTTTTAGCTGTCGCATTGCTATCCATTTCGTCTTTCATAGCTTTAAAAATTAAGTTCCCAAAGCCAAGTTTCAGATGCAGAATCGGTGGCACACATTGTCTAGGCTCAATTTTCCAAACGTATGAGCGAAGCACTCCTTTTCGACTATCAGAATCGGGAGCAACAAAGCAGGCATCCAATGACTTCAAGGTTCTTTTGGAATAGGTATTGGATCGAGAGGATACTTCTGTCCAGGTACTTTTCTCTTCTTATCTGCTCGAAATTCGCACCAAACACATGGAAATGATGAAGCGTTTGAAAGGCCATATGTTGATGCCAAAAAATTTAAATCTCCACTGAAAAAATCTGCAAACCTAATGGCAATAACTCGTCATAAATTGTATTAAGTTTTTGCAAGTTTTGATTGTTGTCATATCCGACCAAACAGCTATAATAAACTGATTGTAGCAGGGTTGTGGTTTTTCAACCTTGTCTAGGAGCATTAAAGTCAACTTTGTTGTATCAGCTCCTTTGTCACACATTAGCACTATCCTTTTCTTTTCACTATCTTCTACGCGAGAAATCCTGAATTGAACAGCTTGAAGCACGTTCTTTAATTTGATAATCCCTCCAGTGAACACATATTCAACGTTAGACCAAAACCTCTTCTTTAACTCTTGTAGACGATACTCACTTGGAAAAATTCCTGTGGCCTTTCCATATGCATCTCTCGTCACTTTGAATTTAGCAAAAAGTGCCAACGTTTGAATTGGAGAAATAGGTGATATGATTGCCAAACCATGCTGCGAAGACAGGTTTCTTTGCAAATATCGTTTACGAATATTGTTGGCGATATGAAGAGGTAAAACTCTAGCATGAGCTGATCGCTTCATTTGTTGCTTGAGAGCCTTGGCCAATCTAACTTTTCGCATTTTTTCCTTGTTAAATTTTCGATCATTTTCTGCTGATATCCTGAGGCGATAAGTTTCTTTCCCCGTTTTCCGTTTCTTGTTGATTTGAGGCATTTCTCTATCTGTAAAATACAAATCATTAGTTGGAAACAAAATTATGTAAACAATAAAAAAAGAGCCAAAATTTTGATCAGAAGTGAAGAAAATAAAAACACATTTGTTTGTTTTATAATTTTGTTTTTTTAATGGTTGCGGTAGTTTGCCCACGCTTTAGCGCAGAAAGTTGAAAAACGCTACTTTAGCGTTCAAAAGGCATCAAGAAAAAGAAAAAAATTGGGGTGCAAAAATCTAGTCGGGCTCGTTGCTTGCATTGACGCTCTTTTGAATGGCACTCTTTGAACGGCGCTCTTGAACGGCGCTTGATATAGTCCCAAATTTGCACACGAGAAGCACTAAATTTGCGTTTAAGCTTGAAATAAAAGCAAACTCGCTTTGTTAAAATCATTTTTTAATCAGCAATCGGCACTTCTCATTTATCCAAGTGGGTCGATTTTTTTTGATATTTTTGATGATTTATCGTGTTTTAATCTTTTTGAACGTGTTATTTAAGCCATTTTTTTATCCATTTGACTAGTTTTTAAAGAAAAATGAGTACAGGGAAGCGAAATTTTACAATTTTCAAGAGCTGATCAAAACAGCGCCGCGCACAAAAAGCGACGGGCAAAATAATGCGCTTGCGGCTCAGTTTATTTGTGTTTCTTATTTTCATTGGATTTAGAAAAAAAAATTAGCTATTTGCTGAATTTTTTCGAGCCGTTTAGAACAAATCTGGGATAAGAAAAAGCCAAAAAAACGAAAAGTTCGTTTTTTTGGCTCAAAAAAGAGGTTTACTGAGCTTTTCTCGGCACCAATTCTGTTTTAAGTGATCTCAAAGTATGCAAAATGTAGAGAATTTTATTCTGCATCCAATAAGAATAAGAAACACATAGAAACTTAACCGTAGAGGGACTATTTTTTGCCGTGGCGCTGTTTGGACACGGCGCTGTGTGTACACGGCGCTGTTTTGATCAGCTCCCCGCGTAAATCTTGATGATTTATCGTGTTCTAATCGTTTTCCATGTTTTATTTAAGTCTTTTTTATCGATTTGAATAGTTTTTTTAAAGAAAAATGAGTACAGGGAAGCGAAATTTTACACTTTTTCACCTATTTTCCCATTTGATCGACAAATTTTGCCCATTTTTGCCTTTTTTGCCAAATGCCTTTTTTTTAGTCAGCCATGTGCAACTTGAATCAGCCTCCACCCGAAAACGCGCCACCGCCCATGTAAGTTGTTTTCATGAGGCGTGTTAGATTAAAATCTAAACCTGCGCACCTTTTTTTGCGCGCTTGGACATTTGCGCACCTTTTTTTCGCTGCAAAAGGCCGTAGAGCTTCAAAAATGTTTTTATCTAAGGGAATCGTTGCGTAGATTTCGAATTTCGACAAATTAGACCTCGCTAGCACGTCAAATTTCGGCTAAAAAGGCAAAAAATGCGGAAAAGCGTTAAGTTGCGTAGTTTTTGCCTTTTAGCCCAAATTTGACGTGTCAGCGAGGTCTGATTTGTCGAAATTCGGAATCTACGCATAAGATTCCCTTCTATGAAAACATTTTTGAAGCTCTACGGCTTTTCCTAAGGCCTTTTCCAGCGAAAAAAAGGTCGCATTTGTCCCACCCCCCTTTTCCGCATTTTTTGCCTTTTAGCCGAAATTTAACGTGTTAGCGAGGTCTGATTTGTCGAAATTCGGAATCTACGCAACGATTTCTTTACATGAAAGCATTTTTGAAGCTCTACGGCCTTTCCTAAGGCCTTTTCCAGCGAAAAAAAAGGCCCGCAAATGTCCAAGCGCGCAAAAAAAAGGTCGCATTTGTCCCATCCCCAAACCTGCGGTTCTTTACGGATGTAGTTTTTTGGCCAACTTGCAGTCCGATTTTAGATAGGTTTTTGTTAAGAACTTTTGATAAAACAAATAGTTTCTGAAAGCTGACGCTCTAGGCTATCTAAATCTTATAAAAACTTGCTGATCTGACAAGTTTAAGGTGCTTAAAAATGAGCTGCAAGTTTGCCAAACCCCCCCCCCCCCTCCCCTCGTTATCCGTAAAGCACCAAACCTGCTATTAAAGTAGCTTGTTTTTGTAGTTTTCATTAAAACTGTGAAAGTCGATCCTTTTTCTTGAATGTCCTGGTGTCCTTTTTCTTGAAAAAAACCTTTTCTTTTTAGAATCCCGTTCCCTGACAATCTCGGAAAGCCGCTTCAACTGCAGGTGGGAAAGTTTTGCTTTTTTAAAATTAAAAATGATTATATTAGGATCTAATTTGTTAGTCCTGATCGATAAAGCGATAAAACGCAATCAGCCATTGATTATCGTCAATAAAAGATCAAAAACCAAGTCTAGTTTTGTGCAAGCGATGTTTTGATAAATTCCTTGATGAAATTCCTTTAAACCTTTCTAAATTTTTAGCATTGATGGTCTATTGAATTAATTATTTATCTTCTTAAACTTCTAGTATAGATCTAACGATGATATAGTAGTTGGGGGAGAATTTTTCCACCAAATGAGTTGATTTTTTTGTCCTCAAGGGTTTTTGACTATGCCGAATCGATTGGTAATGATTTCACACAACATTTCGCAACTTTGCAAGTAGCAATACAATCCTGAAGCCATAAATTGCAAGCCTAATGTAATCATTCTTGGATGAAGTGACCAAAAAGTACCCGTTGTCTTCGGTCATGCCTCGTTGGTAACTTGTTGACATTTAGTTGTTGTTGTTGTTATCTTTGTTGTTATTTGTTATAAACGTTGTTAAAAGTTGCGAAATGTTGTGTGAAACCATTACCAATCGATTCAGCATAGTTAAAAACCCCTGGCTGCAAAAAATCAGCTTATTAATCAGCTTAATCAGCTTATAACATCCCCAACAAGCACCGATCTTCTAAAATTTTCGGTATAGATCTAACTTTCATTCTTTTAGATAGCACTCGGTTTGTTGGCCGTCTCCGTACTGATCGATCTTCACTCGCCATCAATCGCCCATTCTTCGCTCGTTCATTCGATTCAACTCGTCGCCGCATTCATCGGCTTTTTCTTCCTTTATGAGGCAAATTTTTAAATCGATCTGGGGATACCTTTTGAAACAAAGGTATCCCCAGGGACTTTTCCTCGTCCTACAGTCTAAGAATAGCGTAGTCAGTGCAAATTTGATAATCTTCTAATCATTGGCTTTGAACAGGGTGCATCAAAAGTTTTGTCACCTCCCTAAAGTTGGTTAAAGCTTAAAAGCTTTTTGTTGCAGCTCAATGAAGAAGAGCAGAAAATAGTCGAACTTTTAAACTATCTAGTAGCAAGGTTTAATGGCAGGTTGCTTCTGCAAAAAAACTTGAATGCTAGAAAATTTAGTACCCTATTCTGAACTTTCCAATTTTACTTTACTAAAACTGGATTTAAAAATAAGATTTTTTGTTGCTAGGCCTTTTAGAAAACTATTGGGTTGTCCAGTTATGAATGCGCGTTTTTACTATTTTGTAAATTTCTCAAGACATCGAACAGATGTATATGAGTGTTGTATATCATTCGAAAGCTGAAGATCTCCTCTACATTTTGGAATAAAAAAGTTTTTGAATTCATGCAACTTTTTGGGAAATTGACTGCACAAAGGGAGAGGTCGTTTTGGAAAAAAACCTATTCCAGCTTAGCTATTTCTCAAGTTTTATGGTGTAAAATAACTGCCCAGAAAAGAAAAGATGCTCTGAAATTGTTATATTTTAAAAAAAGTTGTATTGATATATCTATTGGCCAAACAGCAAACGGTTAACTCAATTTGAGCGGAGCCAAAACTTGATCCAAAGGCATCCTTCCATTTTTTGGCCACCTCTTCTTCTGTGGCAGTCAATTTGCCCAAAAGCTGAAGAAATTCAAAAACTTTTTATATCAAAATGTAGAGGAGATCTTCAGCTTTCGAATAATACTCATATATATCTTTTTCTTGATTCCGGTATCTTGAGAAATTTACAAAATAGTAAAAAACGCGCATTCATAACTGGACAACCCAATAATATTACGTAGAGATTTATTTATTGTTCATTTTAGTTAAAAATAAAGACCATATTTTTGATACTTTTGTGATTGGGAGGGGTCACTTTTATCCTGGCTTTGTTGGATCTAATGTTTTGAGTGGTTGTATTGATGATCAGCTTTAATCGAAAGACTAAGGTGATTTTGATGAGAATTACCTTGTTTTTTTTTTTGTTTTTGTCGATTATTTTCATTTGTTTTAGAATGAAATTTATTTTTTTGGACAAGTTTTCAAGAAAATTACAAGGCGGTCAATAATTTTCATTATAGGAGCCGGCAATAATTTTCACGCATCTACATTTGAATTATTCCGTTTAGTGGTGGAAACCGCCTCGTCAATCGCTCAGTCACATCACCGTCGACGGAAATACGATCACCGATTTGTGTCGTTGCCATCTCGTCGAGGATAACGGTTTTATTTTTTTTTTTGTTTGACATAACGAAAATAAAACTAATGTAGTGTTAAAAAAAAAACGTCAACCACACACTCGTTTAGCCGACACGCCAATCGAGAAGAAACCCTGTCAATCGGAGTCATGCAGTTCGGCGGTCGGTTTTAAAGATTAATAAAAAGTAGATGCTTAATGGATTTAACTTTCATTTTAACTTTAACTAAACTTCATTTTAGTCATCATCAGCACAAACAGCTGTCTCCAGTTCGGCATCGATTGCTCATTCAAACGACAAAGTGAGTGTGCTTTGCGTAATTCGCATAAAAGATTTACTGGGTACGCTTTTTTTTGAAATAATTATTGCTTTAGGTGATCGCTCAGAAGCCAACAGATGACACCAAAGCAAGTCAGATCCAATTTAAGGTGTGGATTTTATGTGTTTTCCTTTAAAATCCGTTCTTTCAGGTGACCGACGATGCCGAGCCACCACAAAGAAACGCCTCCGAGATTCAACGTTTCCAGGATCAACGAGACAGGGTTTAGAAATTCCCCGGTTTATTTCTAAAGCGTTGCTTTTTAGTTTGAAGCCGGGGTGTTCACATCGCTGCTCGAGCACCAACGGAAAAGGGATTCCAACGCGGCCGAGCATACACGGGTTCGATATTTTGCTAGATTCTATTTTTCCCATTTTAGCCAACACAAAGTGATCGATCGATGAAGAGTCAACTGTCGAAGAAACAATGAAATAGTATTCGCTTTTTTTTTGAGAATAAACGTTTAATCCGGTGATTGATGCGCATTTTTGGTGAGAGTTGTGAGAAAACTTAGACTGAATTACCTTGTCTGGGGCCGGCGAGGGCTCCGAAGCAATTCGAACGATGCCAGTACTGTTCTAACAGCTTTGTCTTTAAGAATTAAACATTCGGATAAAAAATGAGACTTAAATAGAAAAGGGGCCGTTTTCACAAAGTATTTTGGTTTCACTAGCACTTTCTCGACCTACTTATTATAGTAATGTAACCCTTCCTGCGCTTATTGCCCATTTGAACATCTGTCTAAAGTTTTTATTTTACAAACCATCACAAAGTGAAATGCATGTAACTGGAATGGAAATACACGTTGTTCTGGAAATAAGCACTAAAATTAAACTGAATAGCGAAATAAGGGATGATCACAAGACATTTCAAATATTTAAAACTCGTCGTTGCCGGGAATGTCAAACTTAGCCGTGAATGCCTCAACACCATCGCGGAGTTTGTCAATTTCTTTGTTGAAAGCCTCACTCTTTGCGGTGAATTCCTAAATTTGAGAAATTTTTCTTTGTGATAAAACAAAACTCACCTTCAAGTCCTTAATAGTTTTTCCACTTTGATCCTTGAAATTGAGGAGAATTTTGATAGCTAAAATTGAAACCTTCTTTAAAAGATCCATTTCAAAAAGAACCTTTATCAATGAAGTTGGCGACTTCAACAAAATCAGCTTCTTTAAATCCACGTGACGTGAGAGCAGGCGATCCAAGACGAATTCCACCAGGACTAAAGTTGAATTTATGCAACAAATAAGAATGTCATGGCCTCGTACAGTTAGAAATTAAAATTCAATTTTACTTACCGAAGAGCCGACACATCTCCCGGACAAGTGTTCTAAAAAAAAGAGAATTGTTGGGTCTATTAGTTAATGCTACCTTGTTGCAGGCAATATGCGCCAGATCAAGCACATGTTCGGCCTTTGCCCCGTCTAAGCCAAGTGGTCGCAGATCAACCAAGCACAAGTGGTTATCGGTTCCATCTAAAACAATGAATACTTCGAAAGTTACAAATTAAAACCTGTAGCCAAAGCATATCCAAGCTCCTTCAAACGTTCAGCAAGCGCTTTGGAGTTTGCAACCACCTAAAAGATTAAAAGAAATAAGGCCAGATACTTGTTTAGTCAGAAAGTAATCCTGACCCGAAATAATGCCACATACTTGTTTAGTGTAGTCAACAAATTCCGTGGTGATACACTGGCGCAAAGCCACAGCAATACCTGAATTTGAATTGAACTTGATTAATACGGATCATCATGGCTAACCAGCAATGGTGTGATTGTGGGGTCCTCCTTGAAGTCCAGGAAAGACAGCTTGCGAAATGCGATCGTGCAAATCGTACATCGTCTTTTCTCCTTTTGCATTCACAGAACGAACACCTGGAATTTAAAATTCAAGAAAAACCCAGGTATCTACAGCACTAACCTTTTCTATAAAAGATCAAAGCGCCACGTGGACCACGAAGAGATTTGTGTGTAGTTGTTGTGACAATATCGGAGAACTAAACGACGAACGAACGATCAATCCAAATAGCTTTAAATCACCTCGAACGGTGATGGAACAATGCCAGCTGCCACCAATCCAGAAATATGAGCCATATCCGACATCAAGTATGCTCCGCACTAAATGCCGTTAAAAATTAGTGACGATACATTTGCAAAACTTTGTCAGCGATTTTCCTGAAGCGTTGATAATCAAGGTGACGAGCATAGCAAGACATTCCTAAACATACAAAATTGGAAATGAATCAAAGATATCACCACCACTGACCTGCAACAATGACTTTGGGACGGAAAAGCATGGCATCTTCCTCTAACTTGTCGTAGTCAATCAGACCTGTTTTAGGGCAAACCTGAAAAAGCGGTAATTAAAATGTTTAATTTAAGTAACCTTGTATGGCATTGATTGGAAGAAAATTGATGTAGCCGAAACTTTTCGAGTTGGTGTGAAAAATCTAAAAACAGCGTCTTACAAGGTATTTCATTGGTGATAATAGATTTAAAGAATGGCAAAAAATTTGGTGCGATAGTAGTTGGGGGATTTTTACCGCTAAATGAGCTGACTTTTTGTACCCAGGGGTTTTTGACTATGCTGAATCGATTGGTGAGGGTTTCACACAACATTTCGTAACTTTTAACAACATTCAAGGCTCCTAGATTTACCTAGGCTTTAGATCCGCACCTTAGATCCACACCTCCGCACGTGGCTCCTAGGCTATCGCCTGATTCTCCAACGACTAAGGTGAGTTTCGTACCGGAAGCACGTGGCTTCTAGCTGGATGGTAACTCGCCCCAGCCGTACGAGAATCAGGCAATAGCCTAGGAGCAACTGCTGCCTCTAAGGTGCGGATCTAAAGTCTAGGTAAAGATAGGCGCCTATCATCTTATAGGCAAACCCCTATAGCATCTGGAACAATATTAGATCTAAAAAATGGTGAAAATTTACCCATGTGACAAATGTCCGCCATCGGGCAAATCAAGTCCCATGATGCGTCCATTTGGCTCGACAACGGCCGTGTAAACGGCAAAGTTTGCAGGTGATCCGGAAAGCGATTGCACGTTGACTCCCCACAATTCCTGGTCGAGTCCGAACACTTCGAGAGCTCGCTTCTGGCATAGCAGCTCCATTTTATCGATGTGCTCGTTTCCACCATAGTATCTAAAAAGAAATCATGTATCATGTTGATGCTAAAAGTCCAACCTAGCACCAGGATATCCTTCAGAGTATTTGTTAGTCATCGACGAAGAGAGAGCATCACAAACGGCCTAAAAACAAGTTAAATATTTTAACTTTGGAATTAAACTTAAATATTTAACTTTACTTTGGTTGTGAAATTCTCGGAAGCAATCAATTCAAGCCCTCGTCGTTGTCTCAGCTTTTCGTTCTTCATAATGGCAAAGGCTTCCGGGTCAGCCACACTGATTGGATCTTTGAGCATGTCGGTTCCCTAAAAACAATTCAATCATTAACATTTTTAAATGCAACCACCTCATACTTGATCCTTTCAACATTCACAAGTGTTGTGTGTGCTTTTTCCAACGACATCGTGAGTGAGATGTTCTAAAAATCATATTTAAAGACAAAAAAAGACATATTTAAAGACAAAAACCATATTTAAAGAAAGAAAAACATATTTTCTTTGAAGCCATAGATAAAAGAAAGTAAAACGTGGGGTTTTCAATTTAGAAATAGGGCTGAAATAGAGCTGAAATTTTCCGTATGTAATTACAGCAATGCAATTTTTACAGCCAGCTCTACAAACATCTAAAATACATTTTTTTAGTTGTTTCGACAAATCGACAATTGGACAAAAATAAATGGACAAACAAATGGACAAATAAAATCGATCATAGAATTGAATTTTTCGTAAGCAAAAAGTTAAACATGGATCGTTAGCTGGAAACGATCGACAAAAAAAGTTCAGTTCAAGGTCTTTTCCAGTATAATGTGCAACAAAACAATCGTTTTTCTTGGAATAGTTGATCAATCCATACTTGCGTATAGTTCTTTTATCGTTTCGGCGGCGATTTTATCGGCAAGAACACCTTTAGGCTACGTTTTTTCTTCGATTTTTTAAGACTTTTTGAAGTTTGCCTGACTAGAACAACGGATTTAAGCTAAAATTTTTTTAGCTCAGCAATTCTAATCTTAAAATCTTCAAAAACTTCAAAAACCCGAAACGAAACGATAAAAGAACCTGCAAAAACAATAATTCTCTAACCAACATAACAATAATTCACCAACAAGCACAACAAAAACAAACCCTCGTTTGAAAGCGAGCGCAAACAAGGAATCTTCCCGCCCTGTGCATTTCGTGCTTTTTCTCTAAAATACAATTATTGTTTGTGGCTTTGACACCGAAAGACAAAGTACAAGGAAAAAAAAATTCGAATCACTGAAACAACTCAACAAAAGTGGACAGAAAGCTATCAGGAATAAAAACTTTTAGCCCGGGAAGTAGGAAGTAATTACTAAAATAATCTATAACCAATGCAAATCATGATTAGTGCAAACCCTTTTTTATTTTCTGCTACAAAGGGAAAAGGGCGTGTGATAAAAGTGCGAGAGAGAGCTTTCTTTCTTCTCACAAACATCCCATATTAAGCTTTTAATAGATCGATAAAAACTGGAAACCAAGTAATCAATGACTTCCCACATTTTCATTCTTTATCTTATCAATTGAAAGTTTAAATTTTAAATTTACCGCCAACCATGGTTTCACTTCTGCTTCTTCTTCTTTAATTCTGCCAAAGATATCCACAAAGCATAAAACTGCAGTCTTTCCATAAAATTAATGTACAATTTATTAAACTATTGGGTTGGTGAATGGTGAAACTGCGGGACTTTGAACTAGAATTTAACAACTAAAATTGATTCAACATAAAACCATAAATTCATTTCAAATAATTTCCATTATTATTGACGACTTCTGCCCATTTTACAGGCAATTTGCGGATTCCTCTTTCGTAGTAGGATTTTGGCTTTGAATCGAAAAACTTTTCGAGCCAATTTTTGACTGCTTCTTCCGAATCGAAGTGTTCTCCCGCAAGCTCATTACTCATGGTCCGGAATAAATAGTAATCAAAAGGGGCGAGGTCCGGACTGTATGGGGAATGCGCCAAAAGTTCCCAAACAAGGCTGTTTATTTTAGAGCGAGTCAGTTTTGTCAGACAAGTGTGAGACTCAAAAATGGAGGACTGGAGATGTCCCAACTTGAGCATTTGAGCACTTTCTTCAAAAGAAACCCATTTTGATGTCAATGGAAAAGTTGTAGATAATCAAAAATGAAGCGTATAGCTAAATTTCCAAAAAGATTCACTTAGTAGTTTTCGCTTAAAATGCAAGTTTTGTTGAAAGTTTTGTGAAAATTCGTAAATTTCGCATTTCTTGAAAACCAGTTTTTGAATCGCACTGAAAATTTGGATATAAGCTTCATTTTTGATTCTCTACAACTTTTCCATTGACACCAAAATGGGTTTCTTTTGAAGAAAGTGCTCAAACTGTCACATATGACAATAGCCCACAGTTTTCAATTCAACAACCCAATATTACAACGGGATAATCATAAACACTTCAAAATTCAAAATCAAAGACCTCTCAAGTCACAGGTAGACTCGGCTATCGATACTTTTGAGTGCTCGCGTTAAAACGGACATATCTTTGTGATTGTCGCTCCAAATGGTCTGAAACTTTTACTAATGGAAAGCCAGAAGTTCAAGCTTCATTTTGGTACCTAATACGACTGTTAGAAGAACAAAGCATCTCAAAAAAGACTTATCAAGTCCTTATCGATATGCTATCGATAAGGACTTGATAAGGTCATATCGATAGCGTATCGATTAGGTTTTCCCGGGCTGCGTTTTGCGTGCTCTATTTGATAGAGTAGAGATAGTGTACTCGGGTAATGTTCTCCGACGTTTTCCTGTCCATTACCGCTTGCACATATTTGCCATCATTGAAAAACTTGAGAGCGCGCAAAACGCAGCCCGGAAAACCTAATCGATACGCTTGAGATGGAAATGATTCTCGGCTTTCGCTGACCACAACCTAAAACTCACATAATTAACATCAAATGATGAAATGGGCAAAAACGTACCGCCAAGTGTTAACCATGTTGTTCTTATATCCAGAAATTGGCGTGTCATATAGCATGATGAAGACGGGCTGTTTCAATCCATTTCGATTTCCCATCATCATCCTTTTCAACTCGTCCGTAAAAGTTTATAGGCAACATGTATTCCGGCCGCGCCTTCTCCCACGGATTGTCAAAGCCAGTCATCGGGTTCCTCTACCTGAAAACAGAATTGATAAAAAATCAATCAGACGACTTCATACCTGCCATCCGTCTTTGATGAACTGTTTGAAGATTCCATATTCGTAACGTAGCCCGTATGTTCTCCGACGTGACCAACGCGAAGTAGTAGTCTCGAGAGGTTGCAACATTTCGATTCTAAAGTGTGATAAAGTAAAGAGAAAGTTTATATTAAGAGTCACTCGAGTTAGACCCAATGTTTCAAGTATTTTTGACCAAGGCTTAACTCCTTTAAGACAGCTTCAAGAATTGCATAGCTCATTAAAGCCATTACGTAAGTTTGGAGGATATAGAAAATATCACAAGTGGCAAGTGGCATTTGAAAGACAACAGTCTTTTAAATTCCTTGACAACAGTCTTTTAAATACATTTTACCTTTATTACAAACAACCAATCAGCATCAAATTACCTTTACTACAAACAACCAATCAGCATCAAATCCTCACCTTAATCACCGAGAAATGCAGATAGCGGTTAAAACCTTTTTTGGTGATCGACTTGGGCGATTCCACGAATCGAAATTTGCTTCCGACGGTCGTGATCACTTTGCTTTCTTCAATTCTTCGGCGCTGTCATCGGACTCCCGATACCACCCGGTTGAATATACAATTGATAACACCGACTTCTTCTTGGCAATCCGTGAAAAACGCTGAACATCTTGCGATAACTATCTAAAATCACAAGAGTATATTCAAGAAAGTTAAACAAAAGCAAATGTGAAAAAGCAATGTGAAAAGTGTCAAAATGGGGGTGGGGTTGTTCAGACGAGGCTTAAATAACAAAAGTTCGATTGTAGTTGCGTTATGAGAAGGTTCAGCTCTTACAAAAGTCTCGAGCGCCATAAAAATAGCACAACGCGGGGGGTGGGACAAACGCGACCTTTTTTTTGCGCACCTGGACATTTGCGCACCTTTTTTTTGCTGGAAAAGGCCTTAGGAAAGGCCGTAGAGCTTCAAAAATGTTTTCATAGAAGGGAATCGTATGCGTCCCCCCATACTTTTTTTTTTACAGATCCGGGGGGGGTAAAATTTTATATACCTTATACACGACCCCTTTTAAAGATATTCAGCCGTTTAAGTGATTTGGCGGCAAATTCCCTTCAAATGTAAAGATATTCAATTTATTGAGGTGATTACTTGGTTACGTGATTCGAGGTGATACTCGATCAAAAACGTAACTTCTACAAAATTTTTTTATGTCATTATTAGAAATGTTGATAATATCCTAGTTGGCGGGTCATTTTTTCTTCAAAACCATTTTTTGAGGTAGTTTTATGTGTTAAAATTTTACCCCACCGGATCTTAAAATTTTACCCCCCCGGATACTCCACAAGTACCGCTAGCCGCTGGTGATTGAAAGTTTCTTTTTTAATTTTAAATATATGTCGCAGCCGCTCGTGATTTTCAGCCGTTCGTGATTCAATCACCAACGACTAGCCGAAACATGTTTTTTTAAAAAATTTAAAACAGTGCCACTCATTCCATCTTTTAGACACAAACTGTTATTTTCTTCGGTATTTTAATGAGTAACAATTTTGCAATCGTTTCTTCTTTTCGATTTATCTAGTGTACAACTGTTCTAGTTATTTTTTATTGTATTCCAAATGTTTCGTTAAAAAAGAAACTTTCAATCATTAGCGTCTAGCCGATGGTGATTGAATGAAATACTAGCGGGTGGCATACCCTAAATCGATTTCAAACAACAACAACAACGAGTTCAAACAACTCCCTTGTTAGAAAACAAAAAAAATCTCGTTTCTCCTGTTTTTTGATGGTTTCACTCTATGACGTCAAATTTCCTGATTCAGCTTCATTGATCTGATAAAATTTGGTCATCTGAAGCCACGGAAAGGGAAAAAGATTAAAAGACAATCGCTGATAAGCTCATTTGCTAACAGCTAACATTTTCCCACTTCAAAAATGAAACTTCTAATAATAATTTTGCTATCGTTTCTGGCAATTGAGGTAAGGCGTTGAATTTGGTTAAAGATCTTGAAAAGCACCAGCTTTTTTCATTCTAATATACCAAAGGGATTCAGCCTAGATTTCAATATTTGTTATTAGAATTGAATATTACATTTGTTGTTACATTTGTTGTTACATTTGTTGTTATGTTTGTTGTTATATTTGTTATTACATTTGTTGTTATATTTGTTATTACATTTGTTGTTATATTTGTTATTACATTTGTTGTTATATTTGTTATTACATTTGTTATTACATTTGTTGTTACATTTGTTGTTACATTTGTTATTACATTCCGATATATTGTACAGTAGAGTGTGTTCGTCGCGACTAAGTAATTACCGTTACTAGTTAACTAAGTAATTTTCTCTAATAGTAGTGCACCCTAAGCGTTGCCTAAATTCCTCGAAATCTCGAGAACCGCTTATCAGAACCTATCGATGTGGGGTCGGAAAATGTAGCTGACGATGAGATCTAGTGGGGGATTTGAGTGTTGAGCTTCTGCAGCTTCTGCAAAAGCTTCGAAACCGTAAAATAGTCATCAACTCGGCTCGCTTGGGTGCACTACTATTAGAGAAAAGACGGTAATCGAGTAAAATTTGATCGACTCGATTAATCAGGGGGTAGTCAAAACAGCGCCATAATAGAAAACGTTCAAAACAGCGCCGTCAAATTTCTCAAAATCCAAAAAACCAAGCCGGTTCAAGTTTTATACCAAAAAATTCCTTGCGTTCTTGGCTACATGATGGGTAAAACAGTTTTTTAAAAAAGTTAATATTTCATAGATAAAAAGAGCACTCAAAATGTGGGTCGAGTGATACTGAGTTGGTTAACTGAATATCTTTACTTGCCACCAAATCATTTAAACGGCTGAATATCTTTAAAAAGGGTCTTATATAAGTCGTCGCTCGTTTTTTTTTTTGCGTCAATTTTTTGCAATAATTTTTCGCTAAAAGTACGATAATCTTTCCGAAGTGAGCGTTTTTAAAAAAAACGCATTACTCATGAGGAAAACACTCTATTGTACATGGTCTATTGTACATGGTCTATTGTACATGGAAAACACTCTATTGTACAGGGTGTCTCAAAATTATCCGGACAAATTTCAATCGAGTTCTTCTTGTTTTCTGGTTAATGAAATGTAGATATTTTTCTTTTTTCAGATATTTTAAGACATGCGCTTAAAGAATCTTTGCGAAGCGATCTTCTTCACAATCAAGGAAAGTGATGGAGATCTGATGGAGATCTGATGGAGATCTGATGGAGGCCTGATGGAGATCTGATGGAGATCTGATGGAGATCTGATGGAGACCTGATGGAGATCTGATGGCGGTCTTCATCCTTTTGCAAGAGCCAAAGCAGATGATTTTCGACGCAATCAAACGCTTCAACTTGATAGACACTTATCGTTAGGAAAGGAATCGAAAACAATCAGCCAACACCACAACTAATCGAAAGAAAGTGCTGGACTGAATTAACAAACAGGAACAAACAGGAACAAACTGGAACAAACCAGAACAAACCCAGAACTCGACGAGGAAAATGGCTGCAGCTAAAGTGATTGAGACAATGTGCGGCATTGCGGCAAATGCGGCAAATGGTGGACATTTCAAACAAAAATCATTTTTATTGACTTGATTCTTTGATTTCAATAATTCTTTTGTTATAAATTTCTTTGTTATATCGTTTTCCGGAGAAATATTCAAGTTATATGTTACTTTGAAATTTGTTTGGATGATTTTTGGACACCCTGTAGTCTATTGTAAAAGAGAATACTTTAACTTTACAATCCTTTTTTTAAAAAAACCATTTTAGGCTCTCGTTTTACCGCTGAAAGGTCCACGAAGAGAGGATGTGAAACGTTTTCTGAAGAAAAGATTCGAAGTACTTGTTATTAATTATTTAGATCATTAAAATAGATCATTCAATTAGTATAAAATAGAAATCACAGAGAAACGTTGACCGATAAGCAGTCTAACCCAAACAAAGTACAAATTTTAGGACAATGACGCTGAGCCGAAGCCGACCGCTGATTTTCTGATTGGAAGTAGTGAGTCTTGGAAAGTTTTTGAAGAGTTTTCAGTAGACAACGAAGAGTTTTGGGATGTAATTGCACATTGTAAGTACGTTGTAAGTACATTGTGATTGTACATTGTAATTGTACATTGTATTAGGTTGTCAGGAGGCCTGGCAGAAGGCCCTCGTTGTCTGCCTGCATCGCTGTTGTCCGCCTGCATCGCTGTTGTCCGCCTGCCTAGCCGTTGTCCGCCTGCATCGCTGTTGTCCGCGTGCATCGCTGTTGTCCACCTGCATCGCCGTTGTCCGCCTGCCTAGCCGTTGTCCGCCTGCCTAGCCGTTGTCCGCCTGCATCGCTGTTGTCTACCTGCATCGCTGTTGTCCACCTGCATCGCCGTTGTCCGCCTGCCTAGCCGTTGTCCGCCTGCATCGCTGTTGTCCGCCTGCATCGCCGTTGTCCACCTGCCTAGCCGTTGTCCGCCTGCATCGCTGTTGTCTACGTGCATCGCTGTTGTCCACCTGCATCGCCGTTGTCCGCCTGCCTAGCCGTTGTCCGTTGCCCACCTACGTCATTCACCTCCTAGAAGGCCTCATCTTCCAAAGATTCATTTCTTTCTAGAAATCGTTGAAACTAGCGACACTGGCTTTCGGAAATCTTCCCCAAATATTTTGCAGAGGCCTTGTGATGAGATTTTGGCGTTTTTGCCTAATTTGAAGTCATACCAAAGGCTGAAATGGCGTGTCAGTCGTCTAAACATCTAAAAGTCATCTAAAAAAGAAATCAAAAATGAATTGGTTATCAAAAACACGAAAAGTTGTAATAAATAAGAAATCCAAAAAAGCATCTAGAAAATTGGGTTTGATAAAATTGTATAGTAAAGCTATTGCATAACTGTATAGTAAAGCTAAAAGGCGTGCTGTTCAAAAGCTTTTATGTCATTTTATCGCTTGTTAGACATGGGGACTACAAACTACAAATGCAAACTACAAACGTCAACTACAAACGTTAACTACAAACGTTAACTACAAACGTTAACTACAAACGTAAACTATCAACGTTAACTACAAACGTTAACTACAAACGTTAACTACAAACACTTCTAACTTCCTTCAAACCTACTGCATTGAGATGTTCTTGGGCTAGAGTATCCTTTAAAACCCGGACTCTACTTTAGAATACTTACTTTTAAAACCCGAACTCTACTTTTACTTCAGATGGTCAACGCGTCGAGCTGTCACTTGATTTCACGACGCGTGACACTTGGGTGGTGGATGCGAATTGCGGGAATGAGCTTTGCTATATGGGCACTATTGGATTCGATGCAACGTGGGGCCTTTTTTTCTGATTTTGCTTTACTGTAGCTTTACTTTACTTTCTAGAATTACTATAGCTTTAGTTTTCCGCAAAATCACACAAAATTTCAGCCAATCAACCACTTTTTCCAACTCATCACTTCCATTTAAAGGCTTTTTCTATGATGAGCTTGATGCGGTTTGGGTTTATCGTGAATTTTCTATTGTTTAAGCTCTCTAGGATTACTGTAGCTCTCTAGGGTTACTGTAGCTCTCTAGGGTTACTGTAGCTCTCTAGGATTACTGTAGCTCTCTAGGGTTACTGTAGCTCTCTAGGGTTACTGTAGCTCTCTAGGGTTACTGTAGCTCTCTAGGGTTACTGTAGAGCTGTGTTGATGTCAAAATACAATACTACCACTATCTAATTTGAATTTGAATTCCAGTATCACCCGGTTTCCGGCTTTGCTGTCATGGATAAAATCCAATTGAGCACTTATCGTAAGACAAAAGAGAGAAAATCGAGAAAAATTTGGATTTAAGCCCAAAATGACGACAAATGGATATCAGTTTTCGCTCTTGTCAACAAAAGAGATTCCAATACGACGATGGGGAATTGGCCTTATTATGGAGTGGTGAGTTGCTGTAGAAAGTCTACTGTAGCTTACTGTACTGTAGAGAGATTACTGTAAGAGCTAAATGGAGATCACTGAAGGGTTTAAAGATTTTAATGCATATCGATCTAGAAAGCTAGCCGATCTAGAAAGCGATCTAAAAGCTAGCCGACCTTAAAGCTAGCCGATCTAGAAAGCTAGCCGATCTAGAAAGCTAGCCGATCTAGAAAGCTAGCCGACCTAGAAAGCTAGCCGATCTAGAAAGCTAGCCGATCTAGAAAAGCTAGCCGATCTAGAAAGCTAGCCGATCTAGAAAGCGATCTAGAAAGCCAGCCGATCTAGAAAGCTGGCCGATCATGAAAGCTAGCCGAGCTAGACTGATTCTAGATCGAACGTCCGATCTAGAATCAAGCCGATTACTCTAAATCAGACGACCGAATCAGATTTAGATTCAGAGTGATTTAAAGAGATCGGTTTGATTCTAAATCGGACGTTGACCTCACTTCACTCGTCCGATCCGATTTCTAGATCTCGTCCGTCCGTTTGACCTCACTTCACTCTAGATCGAATGTCCGATCTAGAATCAGTCTAGCTCGAACGAATTTCTACATCGACGTAACACATAGACTAGCCTTTAACTAGGCCTGCTACTAGCCTTTAACTAGGCCTTTACTAGGCCTAGTTAAAGGCCTACTACCTTTAACTAGGCCTTGTACTAGCCTTTAACTAGGCCTTGTACTAGCCTTTAACTAGGCCTTGTACTAGCCTTTAACTAGGCCTTGTACTAGCCTTTAACTAGGCCTTGTACTAGCCTTTAACTAGGCCATAGCTAAGCTTATTGAGTTGATATGATCACATTTAAGACAAAAAAAAACCCTCAAACAGATGAAACAGAAGATCAAAAACTTTATAGAAATTCGATTTTCTGTTTTCAATTTTCGAATTTCATTAAACTGCGGCTTTGTTAGCAAAATTCGATTCAAAATTCGATTCCAAATTCCAGGTGGGTCTAGCTCCATCACCGGGTGATATGCTAGATCCAGTCTTGCCTCATCTTCTTCAAAATTACGATCAAAAAGTGTTAACGATTTGGATGCACAATGATGGAGGGTCTAAAAAAAGGAATCGAAAACTTTTCTCTAAAGATCTCTTTTAGTTTTCAATTCTTCGAGGGTTTTTACCCGGGTTCCTACGAGTTTGATTGGTTGGATAATTGTGATAATACTACTTATTTTACTGTGCCGACAACAGAGACAAATACGTGGAGATTTGTGATTAATGGGTAAGGATTGGACTGCTGAAAGGACTGCTGCTTGAAAGCTTTGTAAACATATCCTGTTGGCGCGTTGGATTCTAGCAATAGCTTGTAGGAATGGCTCTAGCAGTGGCTCGTAGGAATGGCTTGTCCCCAGGAATGGCTTGTTTCCCTAGCAATGGCTTGTAGGAATGGCTTGTAGGAATGGCTTGTAGTAATGGCTTGTAGGAATGGCTTGTAGGAATGGCTTGTAGGAATGGCTTGTAGGAATGGCTTGTAGGAATGGCTTGTTTCCCCAGCAATGGCTTGTTTCCCCAGCAATGGCTTGTTTCCCCAGCAATGGCTTGCTTCCCCAGCAATGGCTTGTTTCCCCAGCAATGGCTTGTTTCCCCAGCAATGGCTTGTTTCCCCAGCAATGGCTTGCTTCCCCAGCAATGGCTTGTTTCCCCAGCAATGGCTTGTTTCCCCAGCAATGGCTTGTTTCCCCAGCAATGGCTTGTTTCCCCAGCAATGGCTTGTTTCCCCAGCAATGGCTTGCTTCCCCAGCAATGGCTTGTTTCCCCAGCAATGGCTTGCTTCCCCAGCAATGGCTTGTTTCCCCAGCAATGGCTTGCTTCCCCAGCAATGGCTTGCTTCCCCAGCAATGGCTTGCTTCCCCAGCAATGGCTTGCTTCCCCAGCAATGGCTTGTTTCCCCCAGCAATGGCTTGCTTCCCCAGCAATGGCTTGCTTCCCCAGCAATGGCTTGCTTCCCCAGCAATGGCTTGCTTCCCCAGCAATGGCTTGTTTCCCCAGCAATGGCTTGTTTCCCCAGCAATGGCTTGTTTCCCCAGCAATGGCTTGCTTCCCCAGCAATGGCTTGCTTCCCCAGCAATGGCTTGCTTCCCCAGCAATGGCTTGCTTCCCCAGCAATGGCTTGCTTCCCCAGCAATGGCTTGCTTCCCCAGCAATGGCTTGCTTCCCCAGCAATGGCTTGCTTCCCCAGCAATGGCTTGCTTCCCCAGCAATGGCTTGCTTCCCCAGCAATGGCTTGCTTCCCCAGCAATGGCTTGCTTCCCCAGCAATGGCTTGCTTCCCCAGCAATGGCTTGCTTCCCCAGCAATGGCTTTTGATGAACATTAGATGTTTACATTTGAGCACAAAGAACTATAAAAAGACTCAACTGTTAGGGTTTAAGTATAATGTTTTATTTTAAAGCTAAAAAGAAATTTCTAGGGTGATGATTGGAAATTACTCTCGTGCAAAAGATGAAAATGCTGAAATCAACGCACAAACGATGCTCACTGGGGTATGTTAAATAAAAAAAAACTCGGATTACGGTAACTAGGGTTTACTTTAAAGTGAAGAAATTAGCGTACTGTACTCTTGTTTGTAAATGGCTGGTATAAGGGGAATGATACTGTAGCTAGAAGAGCTAGAAGAGCTAGAAGCACTTTAAAGTGAAGCACAAGCACTGCTTGGACCTGAATAGAAACGGGTTACGGTAGCTGTGCCATACTTTAGAGCAAGCACTACCTGAAAAATGCTTACTGTTGAACCGGTAGTGACGGGATTACGGTAACAGATCGTTCCTTAAAGATCCTTAAAGATCTTTCCTTAACAGAGGCTGAAAAGTGCTCAATTCTGCCTACATGCTCCTGCTACAGTAATCTTAAATTTTATTAGCTAAGTTATTTCGTTATCTAGTTATTATCTATAATATTAGCTATTTAACGATTTTATAATCCTTTTAGGTCCCCACCATCGTCTACAACTCAATTGTTGCTCTCACCGGGGCCAAGCCGGGCAATAGTGACCTGGTAAATACAAATATTTATATTTTCACTTGCACTATCGCTTTACACCTTTTCATTGTTAGCTGTGACATCCAGCTTGCACAATGGGATAATAAAAATGACTGGGAACCCTGGTGGTTTTGGATAAAATTGGACCGGTAGTGTCGCGATCAAATTTGAGATTTCTAAAAAGTTAGCACTGTTGCTTTAAACCTTTTCATTGTTTGGTGTGAGGTCCAGCTTGCATCCTGGGATAATAAAAATAACTGGAATTCCTGATGTTTTTGGAGGAAATGGGACCGACAGTCTCGAGATCAAATTCGAGATTTCTAAAAGCTAACACTATCGCTTTAAACTTTTTAATTATTTGATGTGACATCCAGCTTGCATCCTGAGATAATAAAAATAACTGGAATTCCTGATGTTTTTGGATAAAACGGGACCGACAGTCTCAAGATCAAATTCGAGATTTCTAAAAGCTAGCACTATCGCTTTAAATTTTTTCATTGTTAGCTGTGACATCCAGCTTGCATCCTGGGATAAACCTGGGATCCTGAATCCTGGGATTTTAAGAAAAACGCGTCGGAAAAAGTTACAACCAATGTAACTCGAGTTACGTGAAAAATCTCCACCTAACTCGCTCTAGTACTTTTTTATTAAGCTTTTTTAACTATCGTAAATACTAATAGAAAGGCACCCCAATAATGCCTGGTGTACAGTAGTCTAATGTACAGTAGTCTAATGTACAGTAGTCAATGTACAGTAGTCTAATGTACAGTAGTCTAACCTTGAACGTATACCGTATATATCAATTCTAGTTGAATATCGATTGTCGTAAAGAGTACCCGGATCTCACGCTAAACCTCGGCTCCAAAAATCTCACTGTACCTTCTGAGGTCTACATTTCGACTGATATGGTTTGTTCTAGAGCCAGATAATTTTCAGACTTATAGGATTTGAGCTAATCTTTAATGCCTATAGAAATAAGGATTGGATATCACAAAAATAAAATTCTTATCACTCTTAGGAAAACGGAGCTCGAGTCTGTCGACTACTTCTCTATCCAACGAACGCCACAGGCTTCAATCCCGCCTGGAAGCTGAGCTACTTGTGGTAAGCTTACTGGAAAGTTAAATAACTAACAATGATTCCGATTCTGCTTTCCGTTTTTACTAAATAGCACTCTGTCAAAAGTTCTAAGCATGCAAAGTTGCAGAGTTTAGAATTTTGCAAATCATCCTTTGAGTTTATAAGCAAATTTCCCCAGAGACCTTTAGAAAGGAGCGGCAATGTGTTAGGGTACAAGGCAAGGCCTATCCCAGCAAGGCAAGGCCTATTCCAGCAAGGCCAGGCCTATTCCAGCAAGCCCAGGCCTATTCCAGCAAGGCCAGGCCTATCCCGGCAAGGCCAGGCCTATCCCAGCAAGGCCAGGCCTATCCCAGCAAGGCCAGGCCTATCCCAGCAAGGCCAGGCCTATCCCAGCTAGGCAAGGCCTATTTGACAAAGTACACACCATGTTCTACTTTGTTTCCAGGTTCTACGAGATGTGCTTCCATTTCAATCTCACCCCGCCATCCGTCGGTTTCTCGCAACAAACGTGGTGATTGATTGGTGATTGATTGGTGATTGCTTTCAATTTAATAAACATTTATCAGCATTCACACTTCTTCGCACTGAATTCTTCACATTCTTCACACAGATTTCTCTCGATGAATTCTTCATTCTGATAGATTTTAAACGTTAAGAGATCTGTCTTTTATCGAACTTTTGATCAAAATAGCTGATAGCTGATCAGAATAGCTGATAGGTGATCAGAATAGCTGATAGCTGAACAGAATAGCTGATAGCTGATCAGAATAGCTCATTTAGCTGATCAGAATAGCTGATAGCTGATCAAAATAGCTGATAGCTGATCAGAATAGCTAAAAAGAAAAAAAAAAAAAAGGAAAAAAAAAAAAAAAAAAAAAAAAAAAAAAAAAAAAAATGAGGAAAAAAAAAAAAACCCTTTTAGCTGATCAGAATAGCTGATAGCTGATCAGAATAGCTGATAGGTGATCAGAATAACTTACTTATCCCCCACAGTATACTGAAGTCTTGCTATACACTCAAACAAACGCTCATCTCTTCACACAAGTACGTTTGTTTCCGCACGCTATCAACTTAAAGTAGAGAAGATGGGTAACTTTTTGAGATATAAAACATATTTTTAGCTTTAACCAGCGCTTAGAACAAAATGATTGAAAAATGATGAAAAATTGGCTTTTTTTCTGCCAATTCCTTATCCAATTTCCAATGAAATTTTTCCGAGCATCGAATCAGCAAATTTTCGTGAGTGCAAACAAGAGGCTAAATACGATTCTGATAAATCAATTGTTTGAAATGCTGTTGTTGAAATGATGTTGTTGAATGATATTGTTGGATTGTTGTTGTTGAATGATGTTGTTGGATTGTTGTTGTTGAATGCTGTTGTTGGATTGTTGTTGTTGAAATGATGTTGTTGAATGCTGTTGTTGGATTGTTGTTGTTGGATTGTTGTTGTTGAAATGATGTTGTTGAATGATGTTGTTGAATGATTTTGTTGAAGATGATGTTGTTGGATTGTTGTTGTTGAATGCTGTTGTTGGATTGTTGTTGTTGAAATGATGTTGTTGAATGCTGTTGTTGAAGATGATGTTGTTGAATTGCTGTTGTTGAATGCTGTTATTGAAATGCTGCTGAATGCTGTTGTTGAATTGCTGTTGTTGAATGCTGTTGTTGAATGCTGTTGTTGAAATGATGTTGTTGAATGCTGTTGTTGAAGATGATGTTGTTGGATTGTTGTTGTTGAATGCTGCTGTTGAATGCTGTTGTTGAATGCTGTTATTGAAATGCTGCTGAATGCTGTTGTTGAATGCTGTTGTTGAATGCTGTTGTTGAATGCTGTTGTTGAATGATGTTGTTGAATTGCTGTTGTTGGAATGCTGTTGTTGAATGCTGTTGTTGGATTGTTGTTGTTGAATGCTGTTGTTGGATTGTTGTTGTTGAATGCTGTTGTTGGATTGTTGTTGTTGAATGCCGCTGTTGAATTGCTGTTGTTGAATGCTGTTGTTGAAATGCTGTTATTTAGCTATTTTTTTAGCTAATACTAAAAGTTTTAGAATTGGTTTAGGGAAAAGCGGAGAAAAATGCATTTTCCGCAAAATGATCGACACGAAATGCGATCGACAGACATGCTCGACAGACAGACATCAACAGATCGATCATGTCTGTCGATGCGATCCAATCAGATCGATCCAATCGAATTGATCGAATCGCATGTCTAGTACGGTATTCCTCTTTTCAAAGTTAGTTTAATCTTTAAATTCACCACCGGTTATTGATTGAGACAATTTGCGTTAACACTCAATCATGATGCATTAAACAAAAAAAAAACAAACGATCAAATTTGATCTTTCGAAATTTGGCAAAGAAAACATCCAACAATTGATAGAATATTGGAAAATATTATTTTTTTAAGTACTTTTTTTTGTGATTGTTACATTTTAAAATGTTACATTATTAAATTATTACATTGTTACACTTTTTACAATGTTTAAAATATCAATTTTTGAGGATATAACGATATTGAGTCGTCTATGGAAAAAGCAAGTTACAGTGGTTTGCTTGATTTGCTTGCTTGATTTGTTTGCTTGCTTGCTTGCTTGATTTGTTTGCTTCCTTGCTTGCTTGCTTGATTTGCTTGCTTGCTTGATTTGCTTGCTTCTTTGCTTGCTTCTTTGCTTCCTTGATTTGCTTGCTTCCTTGCTTCCTTGATTTGCTTGATTTGCTTGCTTGTTTGCCTGATTTGTTTGCTTGTTTGCTTCCTTGCTTCCTTGTTTGCTTGCCTTCCTTGCTTGCTTGCTTCTTTTCTTGCTTCCTTGTTTGCTTCCTTGCTTCCTTGCTTCCTTGTTTGCTTCCTTCCTTGCTTGCTTCCTTGCTTGCTTGCTTCTTTCCTTGCTTCCTTGTTTGCTTCCTTGCTTCCTTGTTTGCTTCCTTGCTTCCTTGCTTCCTTGTTTGCTTCCTTGCTTCCTTGTTTGCTTCCTTGCTTCCTTGCTTCCTTGCTTCCTTGCTCTTGCCGAATTGCTTGATCTAAAATCACATAACTATGACCCATTTTCTTTTCCCTATCCAATTAAATCGAAAAACATTTTCTCCTCTTTCATTGTTTATGAATCGAAAAAGATAAACACACTGATTTTAGGGAAAATTTTTGGTTGAAAGTTCTCTGTTTACAATTTTAACCATTCGACTTTAATGATTTCCTTTAGTTTCTCAGAACAATTGAATACTTATTGAAGATTTTTTACAATAAAGTTTTTTACAATAAAGTTTTTTACAGTAAACTTGTATCTTGTTAGTTGAATATTCCTATTAGTTGAATGTTCCTAAAAAAGAATCTGAGACTTTTTGTTGTTTGTAATTTTGAGTTGAAAATTTATTTCATTTGTTTTAAGTTGAAATTTTAAATTAAAATTGAAATTGTAATTAAAATTGAAATTGAAATTGAAATTTTAAGTTTAAGTTTAAGTTAGACTTCGGAAAACAAAACTTAACCAAAACTTAACCAAAACCAAAACAAACCAAAACCAAAACAGACCAAAACCAAAACAAGCCAAAACCAAAACATCAAAACAAACCAAAACAAACCAAAACCAAAACAAACCAAAACAAAACAAACCAAAACAAAACAAACCAAAACCAAAACAAACCAAAACCAAAACAAACCAAAACAAACCAAAAACAAACCAAAACCAAAACCAAAACCAAAACAAACCAAAAAACCAAAACCAAAACCAAAACCAAACCAAAACCAAACCAAAACCAAACCAAAACCAAACCAAAAACAAACCAAAACCAAAACTAACCAAAACTAACCAAAACTCGCCAATATCTCGCGACTGGGAGGAGCTAGCGAAAATCTGTTTGCAGATTTGAAATCAGCATCCAAAAATCTATCCCATAGGCTATTTTTTTGTTTCGAAATTTCGAGGTCGTGTTTTGGTCCTTTTTTCGGCCGCGAGATTTTGTGGAGTGAGAAAAAGTGAAATGCAAATTTGCATTTTACATTAAAATTTGCATTTTACAATTTTAAATTTACATGTTAATTTATATGCAAATTGAGTTTTGGTTTGTTTTGGTTTGTTTTGGTTTGTTTTGGTCTGTTTTGGTCTGTTTTGGTCTGTTTTGGTTTGTTTTGGTCTGTTTTGGTCTGTTTTGGCTTGTTTTGGTCTGTTTTGGTTTGTTTTGGTCTGTTTTGGTTTGTTTTGGTCTGTTTTGGTCTGTTTTGGTTTGTTTTGGTCTGTTTTGGTTTGTTTTGGTCTGTTTTGGTTTGTTTTGGTTTGTTTTGGTCTGTTTTGGTCTGTTTTGGTTTGTTTTGGTTTGTTTTGGTCTGTTTTGGTTTGTTTTGGTCTGTTTTGGTTTGTTTTGGTCTGTTTTGGTTTGTTTTGGTTTGTTTTGGTTTGTTTTGGTCTGTTTTGGTCTGTTTTGGTTTGTTTTGGTTTGTTTTGGTCTGTTTTGGTCTGTTTTGGCTTGTTTTGGTTTGTTTTGGTCTGTTTTGGTCTGTTTTGGTTTGTTTTGGTTTGTTTTGGTGTTTTGGTTTTGGTTTTGGTTTTGGTCTGTTTTGGTTTTGGTTTGTTGTTTGCCGAAGTCTAGTTTAAGTTGAAAACACACTCTTCTATTAGGTTGTCCCATAAAAACCCAGAGATTTTGAATTTCATTTATTTTCAGCACATAGAAACAACGAAGAATCAGAATCAAATTATATATTTTCCAGATGAATTTAAAACCTTTCTCCAACGTTTGGGTAGCTTGCCAATCCCTCGTTCGTAAAACCCAAGCGGGCGCGAGCGAAAATAGTCGTTGAATTCGTCCTCGAGTTCGCTCTCATCTTTGAACTTTTTACCAGGTAAGAAATCCTTTAGCGACAAGAACAAGTGATAGTCAGAAGGGGCAACGTCCGGAGAATACGGTGCATGAGGAAGGATACTCGAGTGTAGGTTGTCCTTCACAAAATCGATCGATCTTTTTGATTTGTGGGAGCTGGCGCCATCCTGAAGAAGGAAAACGGGGTCGTTCGATTTGTTTTCATCGAGCAACCTTCCTTTTGTTCCACTTTTTTCATATGATATAGATAAACATCGGTGTTTGAAATTTTGCCTGAGTTTGAGAAGTTCGCAGAAAAGGACGCCTGTCGAACACCAGTAGACACACAACATTCGCTTCTTTCCGTGGATTTTCCGTTTTGGCACCATTTTTCCTACTTTCCCTTTCTTCAACCACTGCCACTCGACCATCGTAGAAAATCCACGTTTGATCATGAGTTATGATGTTTGAAAGAGGAAGCCGACCATGCCGATATTCGCTCCACAAGTGGTGGCATATCCGCTTTCTTTTGGCTTGGATTGTTGCCGACATTTCGTATGGGATTTGACGTTGTTTTCTCCAATTTCTTCCCACTTTTCGCAGCCATCGCCACACAGTCATTCGTCCACAGTAACGTCCAGCCAATTTTCGGGTTGATCCATAGGGATTTTGCAGGAATCGGCACCTCAGTATCGATCGATCCACTTTCCGGGGTCGACCGCTTCCCCTCTTCCGTTTGATCTTCGCGTTGCCCGTCCTGAATTTGTGAAACCATTCCTGTGCAGTACTCGTTCCAACAAGTTTGTTCCCATAAAATTGATTGATTTCTCGTGCTGCTTTGGCCGCTGAAATCCCTCTTGAAAATCGTTGGAGCAGTTGGGCGTGGATTTCTTCTCGAGTTGGCTTCATTCGATCGACTACAACTCTCTTTTCGTGTCGGTCCCTAAAAAAATGAATGTTAATGCAAGAAAGAAGAAAGTTTTAGCATGAAAAAGAAAAAAGATAAATAGAAAACGCTGTGTTGTGAGCGAGTAGTGATCAAAACAAAAAAATCTCTGGGTTTTTATGGGATACTATTTTTGTTGTTTTTTTGATAACTTTTCTGTTTCTTTTGCACTAGAGATGGGCCTAGAGTAGGGAGAGGTCCTTGACGACTCGACTCGACTCATTCTTGACTGGACTAATTCTTGACTGGATTAATTCTTGACTCGACTCATTCTTGACTTGACTAGACTAATTCTTGACTTGACTAGACTAATTCTTGACTCTTGACTAGACTAATTCTTGACTCTTGTCTAGACTAATTCTTGACTTGTCTAGACTAATTCTTGACTTGACTAGACTAATTCTTGACACGTGATTCGACTCGACTCGACTAATTCTTAACTCGTGACTCTACTCGACTCATTCTCGACTAATTCTTGACTCGACTCGACGCGCCTTAATCAAGTCGAGTCACGAATCGAGAATCGTCACTATTTTGGATTTAATATTGAACATCTCGGCTCATAAAAGCAAAGCTACAAGGGAAATTCTAAAGGATTTGAAAATGGATTCGATTCTGGTGCAAGTTCAAATTTCAAAATTGCAAGTCCAAATTTGATCTGGAATCCTCCTTTCAAAACGAGGATTCGAGCCTAATATTGGATGATGAATGGGAGAAGAACGACGCAATGGAAAACAGTTAACCAAAGGGCCACAATCACGTGCCTACCGCCCAAGTCTTGAAGCGTGCGTGAACAGTATCTTGAACAAAGTCTGGTGACAATATCGAAACCCCATTTTTCTAACTCGATTAGGTCTTTTCTCTATGTCTATTAGGTCTTTTTGGTCTTTTTGGTCTTTTTGGGTCTCGCAGGGGCAAAAAATCAAACCCCTAACCGGGGCTCTAACGTGAGGCTCCACCCCGCTTTCCCCATCGATCCTCACGGGGCTCTCCCTCCCCATTCCCCAGGCCTCAGGGGCTTTTACGCAGTTCTCTTTTCACCCCTTTTCCCCTATGCGGGCCCTTTTTCTCGAAAAAACCTATCGGATTTTTGGCGCCCCAAGATGCGAATTCTATTTTTTCACTTTCTTTAATCGTTTTCTTTGTTGATTGTTGTTTTTTGTTTGTTTATTGATATTTTTTGTTTGTTTTTTTTGTTTGATTGTTGTTTGATTTGATCTATTTGATTTATTTGTTTATTTGTTTATTGTTTTTTGATTTATTGAGTAATTACTGACTCTCTTAGCGTTTTTTAATCAATTGCTCATTCTCTAAATTTAAATGCTCTTAAATTAGATGGACAAAATGAAAATGCTCACTTTCTGCTCCTCATAAACTAGCTGATAAACTAGAAGAAACTAGAAGAAACTAGAAGAAACTAGAAGAAACTAGAAGAAGCTAGCTTTTAGTGTTGAAACAAAAACGATTCATTCTCATTTATGATTCATTTCATCAAGCAGAAGAAGTAGAAGAAGAAGAAGAAGAAGTAGAAGAAGAAGAAGTAGAAGTAGAAGTAGAAGTAGAAGTAGAAGAAGAAGTAGAAGAAGAAGAAGTAGAAGAAGAAGAAGAAGAAGTAGAAGAGAAGTAGAAGAAGAAGAAGAAGTAGAAGAAGAAGAAGAAGTAGAAGAAGATATGGGTGCTGAAAGTGGAACGGGAAAGGGTGAGTGAAAGGTGGCTATAGGCAAGGGGATTGGGGTGAGTAGGGAAAGGCGTGGGTGAGTTGTGTCGCGTTGTCCCTATCGATTCACCCCCATCCTTCTCTCCAAGAACTTCCTTCTTCTTTCTTCTTTCTTCTTTTTCTACCTCACATCATTATTCTCTTTTCTTTTCTTTCTAGACCATTTTGCCATTATCGCTATTTTTTATTCAAATCCATTTTGGCAATTTCAAATCCATTATGGCAAAAGTAACTCTTACCAGTTTTTTCAAGAAAACATTAATCAGAAAAGTAAAGAAAAAGAATAGAATAGAAAATGACAAGCGCTTTTATTTGAAGCTTTTGGGGTAGGCTAATTTCGCAACAGGATCATTTGCGTTTTTTTGCGCAACAGGATCATTTGCGCAACTGGATCGTTTGCCCAACTCGCCATAACGTTCTTCTAAGTGGACCAATCTTTATGATTTTGATGTAATGATTTTGTAGATCTCAATAAGTGCAAAAAAAAATGAAACCAACATCATAAAGATTGACCGACTTAGAAGAAAGTTATGGTGAATTGCGGAAATTAGTTTACACAAAGATTTTAAATGAAAATTGATCATTGTTTTCTCTATTTTAAGCTAATTTTTTCGTTGTTTTCGACTTTCAGCTGATTTATTTCGAATATCTTTTGAGAAATTTGAATGAATGGTGATCTAATAGCTATTTTAGATATTTTAAAACCTTCAATGAATCGATTTCTCACTCCAAATTTAGTTTGATAGTTGATAGTTGTTAGTTGATAAGTGATAGTTGATAATTGATAATTAATAGTTGATAATTAATAGTTGTTAGTTGATAATTAATAGTTGATAGGCTAAAGTTTTTAATTATACATTTGATGTTTTGATGTTTTTGTGTTTTTGATGATATCTTATATATTTTCTTGTCAATGTCCTTTTATCTAACTACATTATTTTCTTTTTCCAGGATTCTCTCGAGTGAAAGATGCAGACGATCGAGAAAGCCCTGCATCAACCGATGCCCTTCACAACTGGTGGACAAACCATATCGGATAGGTTGGGTTTTTGCATTTGTAAACTTTAAAAATATTTAAAAGCTAAACGCCTTAAAAGCTAAACGCCTTAAAAAGCTAAACGCCTTAAAAGCTAAACGCCTTAAAAGCTAAACGCCTTAAAAGCTAAACGCCTTAAAAGCTAAACGCCTTAAAAGCTAAACGCCTTAAAAGCTAAGTGCCTTAAAAGCTAAACGCCTTAAAACCTAAGCGCCTTAAAACCTAAGTGCCTTAAAACCTAAGCGCCTTAAAACCTAAGCGCCTTAAAACCTAAGCGCCTTAAAAGCTAACTCAGAGATTTTATCTGTATCAGGTTGGCTGGAAAGTCTTCTTCGCTTTTTTAAAGGTTACTTTTTGAAAGGAATATCTTTCCATCTTTTCTTTTTATCTTTATCTTTCTCTTTATCTTTTTAACCAATCAATCTATGGCTTCTTTTATCAGAAACTCCTATTATTTATTTAGAAATTACCCTTTAAGCAATTCTGAAAAGCTCGCGTTAGTTAATTTTTTTAAAGGTGTGAAATCGAAGAGTCAAAAACGTCAGCAATCGAGCAAAAACGATGAAATTTCAAAAGGATTTGAGCACTTTTAGCCAAAGAAACCTATTTTGTTTTCAAAAGACAAAAGATAGAGAATGAAAAGTTAGGTAGATAGACAATTTTGCATAACGTCAGCTGATAGGCAGATAGGCAGATAGACAAATTTTTATAGCCTTTCATCAAGCTAATTCTCTTTTAACATTTCATTCTATGTCAATTGTAAGAATTTTAGAAAAAAAAAACGCAAGAATTCCCGTTCGGATTTGCCTAAAAATGAGCTAGTGGAAATGGTTAATCTTTTTTTATTTAAAGCCACCACATGATCGGTTATTCGTCGATCGTTGATTCATCTATCAACGAAAATTTCAAAAAAGTGGACAAGGCTTTCCGATCAAACCAATTTGTGGATTTGGGCTAACCATTATGGATCAAACAACCCTTGCTTTTGAGACTTACGTGCCTCTCTTTAAGAAATTCAGTTTTCAACGAGAATTTGGTGTTTAAAGCTTTAAAAAGTTACAATTGATGGAGAATTGTGTATGGAGAATTGTTACAATCGAGAAATACTATCAATCCACTTGTTCCAATACAATCAATTGAATTGTTAACATCGGAAAATACGTTTTTTTTTTCAGGTTGAATGCCGCAAAACACTCGCTGGCTGGGAGTCAACTCGGGAAAACAATCTGCAAAGCGACCACCGAGGAGTTGATGGCCCCAAAGAAGAAACATCTTGATTGTGAGTTGTTAAAGTGATGTCTAGATTAATAGTATGCTAAAATCTAGCATTCATAGCATTCACAGCATTTACAGCTAGCATTCACAAGCAAATCTTCTTTTCTAGATCTCCTTCACTGCACAAACGAGCCCAATGTGTCAATACCGTCGATGGCGAACTTGTTGATCGAGCGAACGCAAAATCCAAACTGGACGGTCGTCTACAAATCCCTCATCACCATTCACAATATTATGTGCTACGGAAATGAGGTCGATTTTAAACGAATCAAAGTTTTATTATGAATAAAGAACAAGGCATGAGGATAAAGAACGAGGCAAATTTACAAACCTCAGCCTAAATAATTATTTTGTTAAGAGAAAGATATCCAATGCTGTAGTTATATGAACAATGTGTTATTGTTAAAAAACTTAATAATTGATTTTCTTTTAGCGCTTCTCGCAATACCTCGCCTCGTGCAACACGACTTTCAATCTCGGGAATTTCCTTGACAAGAACTCAACTCAAGGTATGTTTGATCGTTTTACCATTGCACGTGCTTGTTTTATTTATTTTTTTCTGCACGATTTCTAACATTTCTAGTGTTTTCTGGTTTGTTTAGCTGTTAATAGTTTTTCTTTGAATCACGACAGGCCGAGGAGGACAACAAAACGATTCGTTTGCCTCGAGAGATGTCTGGGTGCACTCTGTTGTTGGTTGGTGGCGCATTCGGAAGATAAATTTTAGGTTCATTAGCTATTTTATTAGCTATCAGTACTAACTTTCACAAAATTTTGCATGCTTTCATTGTTGTGCAAGTGCTTTTTTGGCTAACTTTTGAAATAACTGCACGTTTTATTGGATTTTAACAAAGTATTACTTAACAAAGTATTAAAATAACAAAGTATTTACAAAGTAAAGATTTAGATTTAGAATTTTCAGGATACGATATGTCCCAACACGTGCGCCGATACGGGAAATACATCGGCGAGAAAATCGCCACATACAGAGTTTGCGCTTTCGATTTTTGCAAGGTTCGTTTAAGATTTGAAATACAGTAACGCACTTGACAAAATAATACCTCGTTAGTAGAAAACTCTTTAGTAAATAAACCTCTTTAGTAAATAGGTTTTCTAGTACCCATTTGATAAAAAAACTCAATTATAACCATTCAATTCAATAGTAAAAAAACCTCGATAGTAAATAGATTTTTCGATCTCCCTTGAGTTATTTACTAACGAGGTTTGACTGTAATTGAATTTGTAATTTGACTGTAATTGTAATTGAATAATTCTAGACACGGCATCATTATTGACATGTTTTTAGGTGAAACGTGGTCGTGAGGATGGACTCCTTCGCACGATGCACACCGACAAGCTTCTATCAACGTTACCGATTCTTCAGAATCAAATCAACGCCTTGCTCGAGTTCCAAGTGAGTAAATGAATGTGGATTTGTTGCAATGGGATTCTGTAAAATCAGTTTGCTAAAGAAACTCTGTACTAACAAACTAATATCTTGTTATTAATAGTAATCTTGTTCTTGTTATTAATAGTAATCTTGTTCTTGTTATTAATAGCAATTATATTATGCTGATAAGACTTTAAATTAAAGATGACATTTGATCGCTTTACTCAACATTGTTTAGGTGAATGCGAGCGAGTTGAGCAATGGGGTGATCAACTGCTCGTTTATTCTTCTTTTCCGTGATCTCATTCGTCTCTTCGCTTGCTACAATGATGGTAATAAATTTTTTGTTTTGATAAAGTTGATAAAGTCGTTTGATAAAGTCTAACTGAAACTTTAGGTATGATCAACTTGCTCGAGAAATACTTTGACATGAACAAGAAGCAGTGCCGTAACGCACTTGACACATACAAGAGTTTTTTGGTTAGTACAAGTTTGATTTTGAAAGAAAATATCGACTTTAGAATATGTTGGACAAAGTGTCGGAATTTTTGCGAGTCGCAGAAAGTGTCGGAATTGATAAGGTTCGTTGAATTTTGTGAATCTAGGAATAAATCTTGCATTTTAGACGGAAATCCCCGATTTGACGCGCGCGCCCGCTTCACTTCTTGAGGCACTTGAGAGCCATCTTCATCATTTAGAGGGTGGACGTGGACCCCCACCTGGATCTCAACCACCGCCACAGATTCAACAAGTAAACCTCAAACTTTATATTATCACTGATTACACTTCTTTTTTCTAGCAAATTTTCCAACAAATGGTGAGTTTTGTAGCCGTGTTTATTCGCCCTTTGTCTTGCTTGTGCTAACTTGTCAAAATTCCATTAATTTAAAGAAACCCGAGCCATGTTTTGCTTTTGTGAAGATAGATCTGACGAATTTTTACTTTGTTAGATAGAAACTTTGTGCTTTTAGTTCTCATCGGCCGCTTATGGAGCACCAAATGTGGGAGGAGTTGGTGGAGGTGCACAGACGGACATGGACCGACAAAAATACATCGAGATGGAGAAAGAACGGATGAAACAGTTCGAAAATCAACGACAACAGGGCGGACCTGCAGGTATGAGTTTGAGTTTCTACTGGCTGATGAGTAATGATCGATAATAATTAAGAATGATCGATAATTGTGCTATCAAAACGTTGAGATCTATAATAATAGTTTAAAAAAAAAGTTGTCGTGATTGGAAAGTGCATAACTGCACATAGGTTACAAAAATAATCGTCTTTAAATCAAAAATCCGAACACTACAAATTTTAAGTTAGGCCCAAAAATGAACGGAAAAATAAAATGATCCGAAAAGCATCATCCAAAATTTCAGAATTAAAGGCGGCGACTTTGATGTTAGTGAAATTTCATATTTCATCGAACCATAAAGTGTTATATGTCATTCAATAGCTCTTTTCACGCTCTTTCAGAATGCTGAATTGAGTTTTTGTGGAATTCTATTTTTCCATGAAATTTTTTCCATATTCGGCGCCGAAAAGTCAAAATAATTTTTTTCACGGAAATCTAGCTGATAAACTAGGCTCAAAAAGCAAATTTCTGAATTCTACGCAAAAAGTTGGTCGGGAATTTTTTTAAAATTTTGTTTTTTGGTCAATGGAAACGCGAGCTCTGAAACCTAGGTTTTTTAGAAGTGCGCGGTTATATGGCCCGCGCGCACCTTTGATGTTGGTAAAATTTTTCTTTTGTGTCAAATCATCAAGTGTTATATATCATTCGAAAGCATTTTTATGTGTTTAAACATGGCGGAAAGAATTTCCCATAAAATTTGACTTTTTATTAGTTTTCTCCGATTTTATAATCTGGAATGCAGTTTTTTTCTGGTTCTGCGGTACTTGCAGATCTGGTATAGTCTAGAAAAATTTATTCTATTTATAAGCATGAATTAGACAAGAAAAAGAATCACAATTGAACATTAAGCAAAAAGGAGGAAATTAAGATGTCATATTTCCATCATCATTGAGGAGAACAACATAACCGAGCCACTTGAGCGAGCTCATTAGTCGCTCTTCTGGTGGTCCTCTCTTGTTTCGAGCAAATTCAGATTCTAGCCTGCTGTGAACTGCCTCAATGCCCTCTTCGGATGCATTTCCGATGAATTTATGCTCATGGACAAATGGGCCAAGATGGAAGAGTAGAGCATGGACCAGTACACTTTGTCCAAAAACCACCAACTTTTTCTAGTTCATCGCAAAGAATCGCTGTTTGGCAGCAGTTTCTGGCTTTTGAATGTTTGCCTTTGCAAGCCAAATCTTTTATTTCTTTATCCGAAAGAACACTTTTAGTGGTTGAAACCATTTGAGACCATTTGTTGAACTCACGTAATACAGAAATGACTACTTGATAGGAACGGGAGGAAGAAACGACTGCGAAATCCGAAATCACTGAGGATCGACAGAGATTCTTTCTATCGTTTCCGTTGAAACGAGCATAGATAATCCCATCACTCTTCCGATTCACATCCAATTTCCATTTTCGACAAACATCTTGGAAAGTCTGAGAGGACCCTTCGAGTTTCATCAATTGTTCAAAAAGTTGGTTTCCAATCTTGATTTTTGCATGAAGTATTGGGGGAATTACCAAACTTCAAGAAACATTTAATAGATTTTCTTTTTTTGCCTGCAGACCTTTTACTTTTGAAATCATCGCTTCCACCGAAGGGTCACTCCGATCAGCATATTGTTGAAAATCAATTGAATCCTTATCAGCGGATGGTTTTTTTGTCAAACCTCTTGTTGCACCATAAACATCCAAACATCATCGCACAGGAAAGACCAAAATTGGTGTTCAAGAAAGATAGATCTCCACCGAGAAAAACCATATATCCGGCTTGCACCAAAGTCTCAAAGTTTTTCCAAATCCTCTTTTCCTTCAGCGAGTCGTAGGAATCTGAACCTTCCCAAACTTGTAATGGAAGACACTTGCGAGACGAGCACGATTTTTCGCAGATTAGGAATGAAATGGATGAAATAACTCGACCTTTTCAACAGCTTTCAACATAGCTTCCAATCTTACTCCTTCATTGAGAACTATTTCATATCTGACAAACTGGTCCAGAGTCTTCTTGGCCTTTTCGATAGTTTGCTGTGAGCCAATGGTTATCCCTTGGTTTGACTGAAGAAAATGGTTTACAGATAATAGTCCTTTATTTGATAGATTGGCACTTTTTTTCATACCGAGCAGAGCTTCTGGAGTTGGAGGAGTCGGTGATTTGGTTGGAAGATGTGAGGTTGAAGCAACAGAATCATTATCTGTTGGCTTTGCTTTTGCCACTAGACGGCGTTTTGACGATTTTGCTCGGCTCTTTTCATTATTTTTCAGAATCCTTGCCTCCAGTGCTCCTTTCAAATGTGCTTTCCTGTCGAATTCTTTTTCTTTTTTTTGATTGTCTGCGGATCGCGATGAGCTTTCTTCTTTTGATTGCACAGGATTTGCAAGAACTTTCCCACTTCGTAATCCGTGCATGTTGTTTTGATTCGTTTGGCGTCCATGTTCCAAGTTGGCACTTCTAGACTTTTTGGCTTCTGATGTTCGTCCCATCTGCAAATTATAACTTTTGTTTTGAAAGTGTAGGAAATACGAATGTAATAAGAAAAATAATAATAAGCTAATAATCAAAAAATAAATAATCGGGAAGCAAAATTGTCTGTAACTAAATGATTTTCTCCTGCGATTGACATTTATAACTTTATCATCTGTCATGCCTTTGGCATAGTAATTTATCGAGTAATTGTCAAGGCAGTCTGTATTTGTCTGTGCACCTGGGTTGCCTACCCGAGATTGACAAATACTCTCAATTTCAACTTTCCTGGAACTCTTTCTTCAAAAAAAATTGCGTTTTTCACTTTTTTTAGAATAAATTTTTTCTAGACTATACCAGATCTGCAAGTACCGCAGAACCAGAAAAAACTGCATTCCAGATTATAAAATCGGAGAAAACTAATAAAAAGTCAAATTTTATGGGAAATTCTTTCCGCCATGTTTAAACACATAAAAATGCTTTCGAATGATATATAACACTTGATGATTTGACACAAAAGAAAAATTTTACCAACATCAAAGGTGCGCGCGGGCCATATAACCGCGCACTTCTAAAAAACCTAGGTTTCAGAGCTCGCGTTTCCATTGACCAAAAAACAAAATTTTAAAAAAATTCCCGACCAACTTTTTGCGTAGAATTCAGAAATTTGCTTTTTTGAGCCTAGTTTATCAGCTAGATTTCCGTGAAAAAAATTATTTTGACTTTTCGGCGCCGAATATGGAAAAAATTTCATGGAAAAATAGAATTCCACAAAAACTCAATTCAGCATTCTGAAAGAGCGTGAAAAGAGCTATTGAATGACATATAACACTTTATGGTTCGATGAAATATGAAATTTCACTAACATCAAAGTCGCCGCCTTTAATTCTGAAATTTTGGATGATGCTTTTCGGATCATTTTATTTTTCCGTTCATTTTTGGGCCTAACTTAAAATTTGTAGTGTTCGGATTTTTGATTTAAAGAAAAAAAAAATTTACACAGGGGTGTAATCGATGTGAACTGCCATTAAATCTGTGTTATTTCCAGGCGCTGCATTCAATCCATTTGCCACCGGAGCCGCCGTTCCACCAGGTCGAACGCAAAAGGTACGTAACTATCAAAGATTTACATTAACCTCTAAATATGTCTGTTTTTAGGCTACGGATACAGATCTTGTCGATTTATTTGCGGCTCCAATTCAACAACAACCCGCCATCGATCCATCGAATCCATTTGCCGCGTTTGGAGCCCCGGTTGCGCAGAATCAATCCGCTCAACAACAGCAGCATACACCTTTCTACCAACAACAGCCTTCAAGTGAGTTTTTATGGTGTAAATTGGTGGGTTGAGCACGATTTGGTTTCGTAAAAATTCGCTGTGAATGTTCTTTTTGGTTCTCGATGGCACAACGAAGCTGTGGTGCTTGTTGATTTGAGTTTTTTTTCTAGGATTTTGTCGAGCAATAGATTTATAAAATCAAAAAGCATCGCTATATGTTGCATGATCGATTTCTCTTTTGTTGTAGTTGTGCCTTATGGAGGTGCCACATCGTATGGAGCTCCGGTGTACACGAATGGTACGTCGTCTGTCTACCCGTCGATTCCCTCAAGTTCGGCCACCTTTTCACCGGACTTTTCACGAGCTTTCGCCATCGCCACCACAAGCACCACTACCGTACCCGTCACCCAGGGAATGGGCTTTAAAGGTATGCAGTTGTAGCCGATGATGGAGTCCAGTTGGATTGGTTGAACTAAGGAACACCATGAGCATTTGTTTCTTTTAAAAGCAAAATATTTGGTTTTCACGTATCAAGTGCACGTTTCGTGTCAAATATCAAGAATGTAAATGTGACGTACATTTTGTCGAGTGGAACTTCTTGCTCTTTTCATGAACTCGTTGTATTGTTTTCTATTTCTCGTGTTGTGATTAGCTTTCTAGCTTTCTATTTAATTTTTCTTGCTGTAGACGACACTGCGTCGTTTAACCCGTTCGCTATTGGGACTGCGGCGACTCAAGGAGGACAATGGGCTGCAGACTTTGGACAGCAACAGGGACAGGTATCCAAAAAAATTTTGCATATCAAAAGCCACTCAAGGATCTCGGTTTTGATCAAGGCGTCCACGGTGCTCTGCCCGGAAATGCGAACCCATTTGGAGTCACTGCACCACCCAGTAAGAATTGCCATAGAACTACCTCGATAAAAGCTTAAAGATAAACAAATAGATTAGCCTTTAAAAGGAATTACTCTCGATTATTTGGGGCAACCAGGTTCTGCAAGCTTACCTTTTCAGACACTGCACCGCCGGCTGTTGAAACTGTGCAGCCACAATCCGGCATCTCAGCTCAGTCAAGCAGTACGTTCCAAACTCGATAAATACCTAGATAAACAAGTCATTAGCTCTTAAACCGTTGCCTCATTTAGCTGCATCCACCCCATTGCCCATTGCTGGTGCAAATCTTGGCATTTATGAGAACACCCCTTTTTGTAAGTCTTTGATGTCTTTTTGTAAGTCATCTAAAAAATGTTCAGCGAGAATGGATGGAAGTTACACGACCCAGTCAATGTTTGATGCACAAGCGGCTCCGCAAAGTTGTTTTCTTTCAAAAATTTTCATTATAATTTTTAGCGCAACCGAATCCACAAGGTTTTTTGAAAGTTTTGGCCGTATTTTTTTATTGTTGTTTTTGTGATTTGTCCTTGCATGAAGTGTCTTGTTTTTTTTCTTTGATTTGCAAGAGTTCCACTCGGGAATTGAGTAGATTTAGTGGAAAATTGAACTGAATTCAATTGATATTCTTTGTTTTTTTTTTCAGATCAAACAAATGTGGACTCGGCTCTGTCGTCGTTGGCCAGCAATCTCACCATCTCGGGGGCACAAAATGATGTGTAAGTGCTTGTTTTGAAGCTTTAATGAATGAGTTTAACCTGGTTTAAGTGTTAAATTTTAGGAAACCGGTTCAATGGAGTGGAATGGGACAACCAGCCCGACCAAATCCACCAGTTGGCACCTCCACGTACAATCCGTCACCTATGGCATTCTCGCAGGTATCCTTTGATGTCTTTTAGATTGATTTAGTATGAATTTGATTGCACAAAACTAGCAATTTTAATAATTTGAGCTTATCATAGTTAAATTACCGCTATTTTATTGAAATTACCGTTATTTTATTGAAATTACCGCTTCATGCATTTAGCCTCCCGCTTACGGTGCCCCCAACTATGGAATGCCCGCGTATGGAGGAGCTCCAGCGTATGGACAACCGCAAATGTGGCCACAAATGGGAATGCAGGGTGCTCCTGGTTGGTTTTAGTTGAAAGTTATCAAATTGAGGACAAATTGAGGACAAAAAGTAGGACAAATTTATGGGTTTAAAATTTGGCAGTGCTAGTTGACCACCATAAGGATGAGATCATCATTCTTAACGGATCTATCGGATAACGGACGGGTACTAGCCAACTGTTAGCTTGAGTACTAAGACTTTACCCCTTGATTTCATATCTAAATCTTAAACTCAAACTACCAAATACTAAACGGCTTCATTAGAAATGTTTATCGTTTATTTTTTTGTTATTTTTAAACAATTTTGAGTATTTTAGAATAACCTGAGAGACCGAAACCTGGTATTTTTAAAAATATTGAAAAATGAGCACGTAAAAAAACCACTAAATGGATTATTCTGAAATTTTGGTTCTAGACCTATCTTTTTGTGCACTATCTTTTTTATTTTGTCATCAAAAAAGGAAGAAAACAGTCCAAATTGCATCATCGGACGTTTTTGAACACTTATCTTCTTACTAATAAAAAATCTTCAAAAAAAAAGCTTTTCAAAGACTTTCAAAAGTCATTTGCAAGAGAAGTGATTGGGCTATCTAATGAAAGAAAATTTATCTGATTTAGTAGCCTTAGACTTATGCAATTAGAAAATGAATTTGAGTGTAGTACTCAACCTTATAGTAATAGTCTTTGGTAACGCCAAGTTTCATAGATTCTCAAGCTGTGTAAGCTTAGTTTTCAGATATGCACTGGGTAAAATAAATTAACAAACTACTAAATAGGTTATTGTTATTCAGGAATGTACGGAATGCAACAACAACCAGCCTACGGAGGACAACCCGGTGCCTATGGCTACCCGCAACAGGGTCAACCGACCGCTCAAGTGAACCCACAAGCCGGTGGAGCTGCCGACACGTCGAATCCTTTCGGAAATCCCTTCAGTTAGGTAATTTCTCTTCTATACAATCTTTTTCAATGCAAATCTCTCTGATATACAATCAAATTGTAGCCTAGTTTTTCGTTTTTCTGCAAAATCTCACCCATAGCTTTTCACTCGTAAGTTTCTTTATTCGAATTTATTTCATGTGGATCCCTCTTTCATAAGCTTATTGTAACTAATCTTGTGACTTTTCTTTCTTTAAATGCTTACCTACCTTTTTTTTTACAAAAATAGAGTTATTAAACTTACTTCTAGTGAAATGAAATGTTTCCAAATTTGTTTATTTGTGCATTTTCTCTGCCTAGTATGTCCAAATTTGTCTTCTCTTGTAGGATGTGAGAAAAAAAAACGTTTGTGATTATTCCTGTGCAAGAAATTTATTTTATTTTTTGTTTGACTGACGACTTTGACCCATCCCTCCTGTAATTTTGGATAGTTTTGAGATTTTTTGGAAATCTAGTTTTTTTAGTTTTTTTTTTCTTTTTGTCGTGTGTGCATTGAATAGCTAATTTATTGCGATAATAAATATTTAAACTAAGCTTTGAAATGATCAATTTTTGGAACACCTGTGCCAGGTTTTACCTGGGAAAAATTTAATAGCAAAAACTTTTTTGAAATTGATTTATCGGAATTACAGAAGCAAGCGGCTTAAATGGCAAGTAAACTTTTTTAAAATGCAAATTTGCATTTGATCACTGTTTGCTATAGGTAGATTTGAGCCAAAGGGATTACGGTAAAAGCTAGGCTTATATTAAATGTGAATTTATTCCAATGGATCTCGTGTGGCTTATATATGTCGTAGCCGATTATGAATGAGCGGGCTTATATAATTCTTTAAATGATGATTTAAAGTCATCAATGTCAATGATTTCTAGACGTAAATTTGATTCATGTGGTTACGGTGGAACGTGATTATTTAACCCATTCGAAACCGCAGCGTTTTTTCTTTTTTTTCGTCTCCGGACCAAGCCCTTTTTTGACATTTTTGACTCCGAAGCAGTTTATCCAGATGGTTGGAAAGGTTTAAGAGAGTCTCCTACACCATTTATTTTTGATGAAGAACGATTTGGATTTGACTTCAGTACTTTTCAAGATCCTATCGATTATTGTTCTTATTTTATCGACGACAAATATCGACGACGACAAATGAATCAATATGTTAGTAGGCGAATCTAATAAACATGGAAAAAGGAAAACAAACTGGCAGCATTTCGATGCATAATCTTTCAAGCTCTTCCTGGCTCTGTATCTTCAAATGGGAATCGTCAAATTACCGAGGATTCGTGACTACGTAGCAGGCCTGGATTAGGAGGAGATATGGAACATTTCAATGCAAAACCAGAGGCTGCATTGATTCCGGGTAAATATGACACGTCTTTTTTTGCCCACTTAATTTGTAGATATGTTACAATTGGAATATACATGTAATGCTGAAAAACAGCAAAAAAAAACCAATTAATTGAATGAAAATAGCTCAATTAGCGTCCGTTCCTGAGTTTTTGCTGCAGCGATTATTCGCTGCAGAAGTTTCGAATGGGTTAAATGATAATTTTGAAGGCAAATTTATTTTCATGAGATTATCGGATTCAAATTTAAGTAGTAAAATATCGAAATCGATATTTTGTTTAAGAAAAAAAATCAAAAAAATCAAAGAAATTCCCGGTGTTTTCCCGGTTTCGAAACCCCATCACTGACCTAATTCTTTTCAGCGCTTTTTTTTTTTTAGGTAATCAGTTTTCCCCCAAATTCCCTTTCATTCACCCACTTTCTCAAATTTCCCTTTTTTTTTTTTCAAATAACTCCAGATATTCTTTATTTATAGAATTTCAAACCATTCTTCGGTATTATCCAATCAAATGCTATCCGGTATTGATCGAGCGCAAATCGCTTTTGCTGGATGTGTCATTGTGACGGCGCTGACGATGATTTTTCAATTGACTTTTCTGCCGATACTGCTGAGAAAAGTGGAAATGAGTCGACACGTTGTCAAGGAGAAAATTCTGGGTTTTGAGGTTTGTTTTTTGGCTTTTTTTCCCCGTTTTTACCTAGGGTAAACCATTTGACTTATTTGTAAGCTACAGTAGCCCTAGCTTAGAACTTAGCTACAGTAACCCTAGCTTAGACTTGGCTACAGTAACCCTAGCTTAGACTTGGCTACAGTAACCCTAGCCTAGACTTGGCTACAGTAACCTGGCTTAGACCTAGCTACAGTAGCCCTAGCCCAGACTTGGCTACAGTAACCTGGCTTAGACTTGGCTACAGTAACCCTAGCCCAGACTTGGCTACAGTAACCCTAGCTTAGACTTGGCTACAGTAACCCTAGCTTAGACCCAGCTACAGTAACCCTAGCTTAGACTTGGCTACAGTAACCCTAGCTTAGACTTGGCTACAGTAACCCTAGCCCAGACTTGGCTACAGTAACCTGGCTTAGATCTGGTTACAGTAACCCTAGCTTAGACTTGGCTACAATAACCCTAGCTTAGACCTAGCTACAGTAACCTGGCTTAGACTTGGCTACAGTAACCCTAGCCTAGACTTGGCTACAGTAACCTGGCTTAGACCTAGCTACAGTAGCCCTAGGTTCTAGCCTTGCCTTCTAGCCTAGCCAATAGTTTACCCTGTAGTCCCACAGTAGTCCGATCCAGCCACCGTAATCCGACCTAGCTACAGTGACCAGGACTGGTTACAAAACCCGATTTAGCTACAGTAACCCTAGCTTCAAATCTACTTGGCTATGCCTAGCTTTTGATGACTGTTCAGAGTACTTTGTAGCCTAGGCTAACACTATCTGCTATTAGATCTAGTACTTGGATCTGCTTTAGATTCTTTTTTTTCAGGTTTATTAAAATTTCCAAATTCCAATAAACACTGAAAATATTTCCAGAGAACAGAAAAAGAAATCGAAAGCGATTTTGGGAGAAATGAGGCGATGATTGAATGGCATTCATTGGAAAAAAGAAGTGTGGAAAGGGTGAAATGTCGAGTGGGGAAACAAGGAGAACAAGGTGTGGTGAAAGAAAGAAATAAGGATTTGAATGGAAATTTTTTTACTTTAAGAGTTTGAAATCAGGTTTTATCAGGGGTTTACTGAGGTTTCGAAAAGTGTGTTTCTTTAGGTTCGGATGGAAAAGATGGAAAGCCAGGACAAGAGGGAAGTCGAGGACGACGAGGAGATGATGAAAGAGATCAAATGAATTGTTTGTGTTTAGAGAATTGATTTTGATTTTTTTAAAAGATCTAGTTTCCTTTACAAAGATAGTTGATCTTTATTTATTTATTTATTTATTCATTTTAGGGCTCAAAGAGAAATGTATCATTTGTCCACAAGGAACCCAAGGACCTATTGGAGTGCCCGGTCTACAGGGAACACCCGGAGAAAAAGGCGATCGAGGGGTGAGAATTGAAATGAAGCTTTGTGCTACTTTGTTTGCTACTTTGTGCTACGTCGGAAACGCATCAAATCTGGTGCAATCAATTAAAGAAATCTGCGCAATAGAGAGCCCTTTAGAGCGCAAAATGAGAAATGAGCGCAATAGAGAGCACAAAAGAAAGAAAAAGTCGGTGAGTGCTGTTTTCATATTTAAGGATTGGTGTTTACGAGAGAGGCTCAACTGGTTGCCTCATCTGTTGCCTCATCTGTTGCCTCATCTGTTGCCTCATCTGTTGCCTCATCTGTTGCCTCATCTGTTGCCTAAAATCACATGAACTATAGACGATTTGTTGAAGAATTTCACGCTGATTCCGAATCTGTTTTTCGTTTTTGAAATGCAGCACTCTATCAAAAGTTATAAGTCATCAAAGTTTTGTCGAAAAAATGAAACTGCGAGATTAGAAACCGGTCTTCCGCCGGCTCTCCAATTGCAGCGATGGCCGAGTGGTAGTGAGCTGGAACGCAAGGCGACTGACTGAAGTCGAAGGCCAGGGTTCGAGTCCGGTTGCGGTTTTTTTCTAGGTTTCTCCTTGCGACTTTTCTGTTTTGGGTTTTTTAGATTTCTCCCCTAGCAACAGTTCTGGCTAGGTCCAAGCTCCTTATCCAGATTAGTGGTTTGCCAGATGGTATACGGAGAAAACACAAAGTATTACCGAAAAAAGAGAAACAGTTATCGGACTCGAGAAAGAAAAGCTTACCGTTAGAAAAAGCTTTCGGGTAGCTTTCGAAATTGGTCACTTTTTTTTTGGAAAACGTCTCGATTAGAGTTTACTTTATAGATATTTATCATATTTTCAGTATCCTGGAATCCCGGGACGTGACGGGAAAGATGGATTGATTGGAGAGGAGGGAGAGGTAAAATTTGATTCGATTAAAAGTAGATTTTAGTTTAGATTAGAACTAGAACTAGATTTAGCTTTTTTTTCTTTTCCCAGATTCATTTCCCGAATTCAGCCTGGTCTTCAAGGGTTTCGGGGTCGAAATGGAGTCGCTGGGAATCCGGGGAAAGCGGCGCCTGGAGGAGTTGGACTACCCGGACCAAAAGGAGCGCCTGGACCTGTGGGAAGGTGAGTGCTGAAATTTTTGAGAGATTTTTAGAGCTCTTGCAAATTGTCTTCTAATTGTTTTAATCAAGTTTTAACCTTTAAAAAGTGCCTCAATATCTCAAGAGCCGTCTCAATATCTCGAGGAGTCAATATCTGTCGAGAGAGCTTGACCACTAGAAAGTACACTAAAGAAGCGCGCATTTTTGAAGGCGCTAAACGCCTAAAACTTGATTTAAAACGCATTTTCTCAAGTTTTTGTTGTGTTTTTTGGAATCTACGCATAAAATTATGATAGAAAAAGTGATTTTGAAAAAGATCGTGAAAAACGAAAACTAGATTTATTTGAATGCGTTGATTGCTGGATAGAAGGTGATATAAAGATGATATAAGATGATATAAGATGATATAAGATGATATAAGCTGATATAAGATGATATAAGATGATATAAGATGATATAAGCTGATAGAAGCTGATAGAAGCTGATATAAGATGATATAAGATGATATAAGATGATATAAGCTGATAGAAGCTGATAGAAGCTGATATAAGATGATATAAGATGATATAAGATGATATAAGATGATATAAGCTGATAGAAGCTGATAGAAGCTGATATAAGATGATATAAGATGATATAAGATGATATAAGATGATATAGCTGATAGAAGCTGATAGAAGCTGATATAAGATGATATAAGATGATATAAGATGATATAAGATGATATAAGCTGATAGAAGCTGATAGAAGCTGATATAAGATGATATAAGATGATATAAGATGATATAAGATGATATAAGCTGATAGAAGCTGATAGAAGCTGATATAAGATGATATAAGATGATATAAGATGATATAAGATGATAGAAGCTGATAGAAGCTGATATAAGATGATATAAGATGATATAAGATGATATAAGATGATAGAAGCTGATAGAAGCTGATATAAGATGATATAAGATGATATAAGCTGTTAGGAGCTGATAGAAGCTGATAGAAGCTGATAGAAGATGATATAAGATGATATTAGGTTGATGCAAAAGTCTTTTTCATTTTTTTCGTACTTCCGTTAAAAAGTAACAAATGCACCAATTGAACAACGGTTTATTGCATTCGAAAGGCCAATGATTTTTCTGCAAAATGACATTAAAACGAGTTTAAAATGTCTTGTGTCTAGATTTTTTTGAGAGCCTGAAGTCGGGTAGTCAAAAAAGGCGACGGCTCGATGATGCATTTTAGGCGCTCTAGCTAAGGAAACCAATCTTGATGTTAATAAATAAAAGATAGAGCACAAAAAGTTCGATATTTTTTCAGATTTTCAGAGAAATTGATTCAGCCAATTTCTTTATAGAGGTTTTTATAGATTTTTATGAAAAAACCCGTTTTCACTCTCGAATTTGCTTGAAACTGAACCCAAATTGACTTAAAAAGATGGGAAATTGAACAATAAACACTTTTCATTTAGAGCAAACCATAGGTTAATTCATGACTTTGTTATTTTTCAAAAGAAGTACGAAAAAAATGAAAAAGACTTTTGCATCAACCTAATATAAGATGATATAAGCTGTTAGAAGCTGATAGAAGCTGATAGAAGCTGATAGAAGCTGATAGAAGCTGATATAAGATGATATAAGATGATATAAGATGATATAAGATGATATAAGATGATATAAGCTGTTGTAAGCTGATTAAGCTGATTAAGCTGATTTTTTTAGCTAAATCAACTGAGCTACGGTAGCATTATCTGTTTTCCATTTTCCATTCCATTTTCCATTCCATTTTCCATTCCATTTTCTACTAAACTATTCAGAGAATCGAGCATTTTAGAGCCGGTCTTCAGGGTGAGCGTGGGAAACGCAATTATGTTTGGGGTGTTTCTGGTCCACCCGGACAACGAGGGCCCCGAGGACTTGATGGAATCCCTGGATCATCGGGAAAACGTGGAAATAAAGGTCGAAAACATTTCCACCTTTCATGACGATTGTAGTCAATCGATTGTTTGAGGGTACAATGTACCAGTTATCAGTTTTAGTATTAGTATCAATCGGACCTTTTGTCTTTTGTCATCACGACGATCTTTTAAGGACAACCCGGTGAACGAGGATCGAATCCAAAGTTTTGCCCGTGCCCCTTTGAGATCTCGCTTTTGCATGAAAAGGTTGGGTTTTTAGCTAAAGATCTAACGATCTAAAGATCTAGACATTTATCGTAATTTGTTAGCTTTTGAATAATCGTTTGTTTGTTTGTTTGTTTATTCTTAATTTGATTTCAATTTACAGCAAATGCCCCGTTTAACTCCAATCTTGGATCTTTCTTCAGGTGATTCTTCGATTATTTCTTCAAATCATTATGTTTTCTAAAAGCCTACCGTACTCTGGATCATTGACCGACAATAGATTTTAAAGAATACCTTTCAGAAATCTATGATCAGCCAGAAATCTATGATCAGCCTAGACAGAAATCCACACTTGAATCCAATCAAAGTTCTGTTACGGTAGCTTGAACCCAGTCGAAATTGGGTTATGGTATCTTTTTTAAAGGCGATCTTTAGAAATCAGAACTTTCTATCGTATTTCTTTGTTATCTATTAATCAAAAGAAAGGCAAAAGAATTGGCGGCAAGAGGAGTCGAACCAGCGATCTCTCTTCCGTTCGTTTAAGAGATGCGCGCGTTAACCACTCGGTCATGCTATGGTGCAATTTGAGCGCACTTTTCTCTAACCTACGCAACCCGGGTTTAACTCCCGCTCGTGTCGGTACTTTTGGACAGGAAAACAGACAGACGGACAGACGGACAGACGGACAGACAGACAGACGGACAGACGGACAGACAGACAGACGGACGGACGGACAGACGAACAGACAGACGGACAGACGGACAGACAAGCGGACAGACAGAGAGATGGACAGACGGACAGACGGACAAACGGACAAACTAACAAACGGACAAACGGACAGACGGACAGACAGAAACAGCTCTTTTATAGATAGTAGATGATTGATAAACTTTAGATCTTGCTCTCCAATCGACTCCCACTCATCTAGCCCATCCACCAGCTCCATCAAATTACCAAAAATCCACCGGGAATCCACCGGGAATGCGAAGACACGATATTTCGATGGATACGATAAATGAAGCCGATCTTTTGAATGAGATGAAAGTAAGTAGAGAAAGATATTGTAATTTAAAGGACTCGATTTCTAGTATCTACAGTAGCTAGAAATTCTCTATAGTATCTACTATATTTCTAGTATCTAAAGCGTCTACAAATTGTCTACAGTACAGTAATTTCAGACAACGAAGAAGCTGGTGAAGACGAAATTGCAGAAAGACAATGGGGATTTCGAAGAGGAAAAGAAAACGAAAGAAAAGTGAGCTTTGAAGAAGATTCTAAAGGATACCTAAAATCTACCGTAATCCTCGGTTTTCTTTAGATTCCCTGAACTCGTCGATTTAAGCGATCTACCCGATGATCTATCGGAATGGAGAAAAGAACAACAAAGAGAAAAAGAAGACGTTTTGAGAGAGGTAATTGAGTTGAATCGAATTTGATGGCTTTCAAGTGGAATCACCAACCTGGGGTACTGTAGATAGGCATCTACTAAAGGTACTGTAGCTGCTTTAAAAGACACTTTTTGCTCAAGTTAGTTGAAATACTGTACTTAGGCCAGTGTGACATCCAGCTTGCACAATGGGATAATAAAAATAACTGGAATTCCTGATGGTTTTGGAGAAAATGGGACCGACGGTGTCGTGATCAAATTTGATCAAATTTGAGATTTCTAAAATGTTAGCACTGTCGCTTTAAACCTTCTCATTGTTTGATGTGACATCCAGCTTGCACAATGGGATAATAAAAATAACTGGAATTTCTGATGGTTTTGGATAAAACGGGACCGACAGTCTCGAGATCAAATTCGAGATTTCTAAAAGCTAGCACTATCGCTTTGCACCTTTTCATTGTTAGCTGTGACATCCAGCTTGCACCCTGAGATAATAAAAATAACTGGAAATCCTGATGGCTTTGGATAAAACGGGACCGACAGTCTCGAGATCAAACCTTGCATAGCCTGTCCTTGCATAGCCTGTCCATAAGCTGGGACAAGTAAAAAAGGAATTGTATCTGGTACAGTAAGCCTTTTGGGTGGAGGTACCGTAGCTCTAAACCTAGCACTGTAGGTTGGGTACTGTAGCTATGAGACTGTAGCTATGAGACTGTAGCTATAGATACTATCTTTCATTTCATTGGCTCTGTTTCAGGAAGAAAGCGAGGAAACCCAATCAACGACAGAACAGGAAATGGAAAGTATTGATGAGAATGAGAATGAGAATGAAGATGATTATTCTCTAAACGAACCCGAAACGACGAAAAAATCACGTTTCCATTATGTGACTAAAAGGCCAAGATTATATAATTATTAAAGTTTGAAATAAACAATTAACTTTGGTCAAACAACAACAATAAGATTCTTTCGAAAACAGCACGATATTTTGACAGAAAGAAGATAAAGAGATCAGACTACAGGGTGCGGCATAAGTATGGTTACAAGTACAGGTTACAGGTTACAGGTTACAGGTTACAAGTACAGGTTACAGGTTACAGGTTACAGGTTACAGGTTACAGGTTACAGGTTACAGGTTACAAGGGTTACAGGTTACAGGTACAGGTTACAGGTTACAGGTTACAGGTTACAGGTTACAGGTTACAGGTTACAAGTACAGGTTACAGGTTACAGGTTACAGGTTACAAGTACAGGTTACAGGTTACAGGTTACAGGTTACAGGTTACAGGTTACAGGTTACAGGTTACAGGTTACAGGTTACAGGTTACAAGTACAGGTTACAGGTTACAGGTTACAGGTTACAGGTTACAGGTTACAGGTTACAAGTACAGGTTACAGGTTACAGGTTACAGGTTACAAGTACAGGTTACAGGTTACAGGTTACAGGTTACAGGTTACAGGTTACAGGTTACAGGTTACAGGTTACAGGTTACAGGTTACAAGTACAGGTTACAGGTTACAGGTTACAGGTTACAAGTACAGGTTACAGGTTACAGGTTACAGGTTACAGGTTACAGGTTACAGGTTACAGGTTACAGGTTACAGGTTACAGGTTACAAGTACAGGTTACAGGTTACAGGTTACAGGTTACAGGTTACAGGTTACAAGTACAGGTTACAGGTTACAGGTTACAGGTTACAAGTACAGGTTACAGGTTACAGGTTACAGGTTACAGGTTACAGGTTACAGGTTACAGGTTACAGGTTACAAGCACAGGTTACAGGTTACAGGTTACAAGCACAGGTTACAGGTTACAGGTTACAAGTACAGGTTACAGGTTACAGGTTACAGGTTACAGGTTACAGGTTACAGGTTACAGGTTACAGGTTACAAGTACAGGTTACAGGTTACAGGTTACAGGTTACAAGTACAGGTTACAGGTTACAGGTTACAGGTTACAAGTACAGGTTACAGGTTACAGGTTACAGGTTACAGGGTTACAAGGTACAGGTTACAGGTTACAGGTTACAGGTTACAAGTCAGGTTACAGGTTACAGGTTACGGGTTACAAGTAGGTTACAGGTTACAGGTTACAGGTTACAGGTTACAGGTTACAGGTTACAAGTACAGGTTACAGGTTACAGGTTACAGGTTACAGGTTACAGGTTACAGGTTACAGGTTACAGGTTACAAGTACAGGTTACAGGTTACAAGTACAGGTTACAGGTTACAGGTTACAGGTTACAAGTACAGGTTACAGGTTACAGGTTACAGGTTACAGGTTACAGGTTACAAGTACAGGTTACAGGTTACAGGTTACAGGTTACAAGGTTGTAACATTGATTTAAGAAACTCATTGATTTTTATTTCTTGCCAAAGGATTATTTTTTTCTTAATTTGAATGTTTTTTTTTATATTATGTAGCAGTTTTAAAGCAAATTTTTAAGTTTGGACATAATGGTGAACGCTTCTCCCAACCGTGCCGCTATTCTTCAGCTTGGAGCACAAGGACGATCAACTTCGGATATTGCCGAACTGCTGAAAATGCATCGAATGACGGTATACCGGATTTTGCAACAAAATAGAGTCGAAGAGCTTCCTAAAAGTGGACGTCCGAAATGTACATTTTGACATAATATTGGAGCTAAAAGATTGGGGAAATCTACCGGAAATGGTTTGTTATCTTGGCCAAAACTAGCTTTGGATTTAAGCTTTAGATTCAAGCTTTGGATTCAAGCTTTGGCTTCAAGCAAGCTTTAGCTTCAAGCAAGCTTTAGCTTCAAGCAAGCTTTAGCTTCAAGCAAGCTTTAGCTTCAAGCAAGCTTTAGCTTCAAGCAAGCTTTAGCTTCAAGCTTTAAAGCCTCTCAGAACAATGACCATCTCCCTTTTTGAGCTTTTCCCAATTCAAGTTTTCATCTCTAGTTCGTTCTCACCTTGAAACACACCTTTTCTAAAGCCATTTAAAGCCAAAGCCATTTAAAGCCAAAGTCATTTAAAGCAGAAACAATCATTCCAAAAAAGCAGCTAAATAATCTGTGATTCAGTTTTTCGACTGTTTTTTGTCGAATAGCTGAAAGAAATAGCTTGGAAACGGGTTTACCCTATTAACTTTTTTTCTAGTAGACAGATTTTCATGAAACTTTGGATTTTTCTTAGTTGGATAGCATGTAAAAATTGGTATTTATTAGATTTTAGAAAATCGATTTTATTCCCTTTGGGTAAGAGGTACTGAAAAGATTGGTCACTTTTTCGCTGCAGCTTTTCAGCTTTTACGTTAATTTTCTGAAAACTGGGAGACCTGGAAGGCAACTTAGAGTCCTAAGTGGTTTATTTAAGTCTTAAGTGGCTGGGAAGCTGGGGAGCTGGGGAGCTGGGGAGCTGGGAAGCTGGGGAGCTGGGCGGCTAGGTGGCTGCGGGGCTGGCGAGCTGGCGGGCTGGCGGGCTGGGTTACAGGGTGGTAGGGGTGACTATC